AATGTGTATAAATCTCTTGTCTTCTTCTTTATTCTACTGGATCGCTATTAAATCGGCGGGAAAGTAAAATAAAGAGACGCTGGGCGTCCTTCCACCTCTTTCATTCTTCACTTGTCATCGAGCCATTCGAAACGACCGGATCCAGTATAGATACACTTACAGTATCGAGATATCGAGTACTCAATGACCGGTTGATGCTTCAACTCGATCAGCTACTGGAATTGTGATCACGTCAGTCTTTTTCTAGTGTCCGAAATCATGCCATTAAGATACTTCTCATAAACTTATATGTTGTTAAGAATTAGCTACTGGATACTGTAAAATACTATGAAGATTCTTCAGTTGTTGATCATACCATTACCGATCGACTTCTCATAGTCGTAAATGTACGCTCGTAGTATCGATAAAAGTCGCTGGATTCGATCGTTAAGATCGGCTGTTGAACGAGCGAAAAACCGGTCGCACGATTCAACCAACGACTACGTCGTTTCCAAGTGGCTTTATAACCCCTCTTCTTCAATCTTTTATTTTATTTTTCTCCTCTTTCTACATTTATGTTTCAAGTCTGTGAGTAAGCGATAGGGGGAGGATTTAACTTTGCATCAAATTGTCGTTAATGGAGCATCGCTCCTCTGAGAATTCTCCCTTAAACTTTTCATTCCTTCCTTTTATCACTGTTTTAATCATGTTGATACACCTGTTGCTTCTTCATTTCTTTCCTAAATAAATTTATTACATGCACATAATTATTAACAAAAAATCACGGTAGGAAGATTGTGTAGGGAAATCACTCAACAATCTCTCGTTTGCGATACCTCTGTTTATTAAAAAAGAATTCTATAAAAAATTGATTAACTTATATTTTACAAATAACTGTGTTGTAACATTTTCATTAAACTAATAAACACTTGGATGACGATAAAAAAATTTTAACACAATTAATTCTTTTCACTACGTACCCTTTCATCACACCACTTGCTCTTCACTTAAATATTTTTTTTTTTTGTGAAAAAAACTAAATTAATATTTTTTAGTAGAGACTGTAGTGCTCTTTATAATTTCATCCATAGTGATGTTTGACACAAAAAAAACTGTATTTTTTTGAGCCTTTAGGCCACCCTCTCTATAACAATTAAATCTCTTTTAATCGTCTTGAGTAATCGTTCGAAATTAGAGACGTCAGTTCTATTTGGACCATGAACTCGCAACTCTTTGATTATCTCTCTACACTCGAGTGGACAGACAAGAGGAAAGAAAATCAGAGAGTACGAAAAAAACAGAGCAGCTCTTCTTCATTTTTTATCTTTATCTTACAAATTTCATTGTCTCACTCTTTCACTCCATAAGGAGCACTTAGAAGAATACATCCCAGTGATTATTGGCCGCGATAATGATCGAGTCGCTTCGAGAGTTGTCTATGCTATGATTGCTGTTCGCCAGTGATTCCTTAGGCAATGTGAGGGTGGTTATTAGGACTCAGTAACATCTTTCAGTCTTCGTTCTTTCAATTCTTACCAAGTATTCTGTCACTCACAGAAAACAATATATTTTACCTGGTATTATCCACTAACATTATTATAATTGTTACTGTTTCGAATATTTTACACTGACAGTAAAAAATGTTCTTCACAAGATATTTTAATAATCATTGTTGAACCTCATCATGATGATTAATGTTTTTTTAATTATTAAAGTATTTAAATAATATAAATATTTTCAAGTACCGATCATGGAGTTTTTATAAATAAAAATAGTTTTTTCCATTTGTTTAATTGTTTTTTTTTGTTTTAATTTAATAAATTTTCAATAGTAAAAATAATTTTGACAAAAAAAATCATTTTTTATTTTTTTAAAACCAATATCAATAAATAAATAAATAAAAATCGAGATTTATACTTGAGATTATTTATCAACACTAACAAAGATTTATTAACTATAAAAAAATTTTTAAGTGAGTTTATGTACAACATTAACTTATAATAAATTAACTCAAAGTAACCATCAAGATAATTAATAAAATCAATGTTTACTGAGAATAAATAAAAATTTAATTAATTATATAAATCAACTCAACAGACAAAATTTTTTTCTCAATTTAATATATATGAGTTAAAAAGTAAGAAATTGATGTAAAGCATAGTTTAAATATGTATATTTAAAAATATTCCCTTTCTACACGTTTATTTATTTTTTGTTGACTTTTTTTTATTGTAAATTCGTTCCTCTACTCTCTCATCTTCACTCTATCTCGACGATACACCCATGACGATAAATCTTTCTAACATGTAAGCGGTAACTAGTAACCGATTCACATTTATACGACTGTTGTGAGATATTAGCTATTACAAAGAGTTATGAGCTAGTCTCCACTTTCTCCCCTCTTTTTCTCTAATTCTTTCTACCTTCATATACACGATGACTGTGATCGCACATTATGAATTACACCGCAAACCTGCTTGTTTCGGTTTTCGAATTAGGCGTCGTAATGATGGACGGCAACTGATACTTTGTAGCTTCGCATCGATTCATCAATAGAAAATACACATTGTACAGTGTCTGGTAAAATTGTACGGTTATAATATTTCTACTGTTTTAAAATTCACATTTTCTATTGGAGAATGTTTATTATGAGCTTTTGGAAAAATAATGATACTCAATAAACAAATTTTATATGAACATGAAACCGCGGCTAATCGCTAGTCTCATAACATACAGTTCTATTCGCTGTAATGTACCAAGGCGAATTGTATTTTTTTATTCAAGTTGCTAAGAAAATATTCTTGTACTAAAAAATCTTAAGCCAATTAATCATAAATATCGTATTAATTATATAAGGTAAAGTTGTCAATAAAATGTAAAAATTTCTACTTAAAAAACAAAAGTTTAAAAATATTATTAAAATAAAAAAATGCATTATGATGCATTTTATTAAATAATATTTATATAATAAATTAGACCCTTATTGCTAAAGAAAATAATTAATTGTAAGTGTTTTATTATTGAATAAATATGTTGAACTTTGTAAGTTCAAGAGATGTTTAAGTATTTATTCTTCAAAATATTTATCGATAGAATATTAATAAAAGAACATCATGCCAGCTAATCATATAAATATTTAGTGCAAATACCTATAATTCTCGAGAAAGTTCTGAGCAGTATATAATTTTATCTTAAAATGAGACGAGTATTTTGTCACGGAAGAGTTTGCATGTCACGAAAGTCTATGGAAATTTTTTTCACGGTTTCTTTTCTTTCTCTCGTGCATCTGTAAAAAATTTACGCTGCAGGACAAATAAGTTAAAGGTTCTCTATATATATGTATATATGGCTGTCTAAACGGGAAAAAGAGAAAAAAAAACATAAAAAATGAGAGGATCGTAGACACGAGTAAATTATATGCGTTTCAACTAATTTTAATTCGGCATCACGGTGATTATGTCTTTTAGGGTAGAGGTTAAAGAGATTTTGCATTTTCACTACGAAATTCTCATTCGTCGTCTATCGCGGATTTAAGTCAAGATGACCGAAACGTTTCGGACAAATTACACGCACGCTAAGTGGACCTGATTCAAATGATTATTATGATCTGTAGTTTGGAGAATACCTTTCCAAGAACGTTTATGCATCCCTGTTCTCATTTAAATGCGATTTGTAATGGCAGTGAATCTAACTATATAACTGGATCTCTTGATTCTACTATTAATTTTCCAATCTATCATATTACAACTCTCTTGTGTATTTTTCATCGAACGTTTCAATTGCAAGTATATTTCTTAATAAAAACATTTATTACTCATAAAATACATTGGGGTGAATAAATACAAATGTAAAAAAAAAACGTTGAAAGGCATTGAAAATTGAAATAATCAAAATTTAAAACAAAAATTTCAACCGATCTATAACTACAACACCAGAAGGGACGTTTTAACTCTGGCAAACTCTTGAGAGCATTCCCATAATCTGCGGAATGAACAAAACATAGATTTAAAAAATATTGAAATTTTAGAACTCTTGTGGGTGGATCATGTCTAGATGGAGAAGAGTCCTAAGGGCTTTATAGTGAACATTCTTTTTCCTTTTTTGGAATATCAAAATAATATGGCAAATAATTATCCTAGCAGGTATAAAAAAGCCATTCAGCATAAATAAATTAGTATTTTCAGTAGTTCAGAAATTCGTATGAGGTCTTAAAAATTAATTCAGTTCAGTATCACTTCGATTGGAATTAGTAAACTAACATGTCGTTAGAAAATTCGTAGAAAATTATTAGCTGTTATATCTTTGTTATAAGAACTCATTTAGAATAATAACAATTAAAAGTATTTCATTTTTCGTTTATAATATTTAATTTCAATACTTCATAAAACATTTTATTTTTAATTAAATACAAACCGAAAACCCAGTGATCTAAAACCTCACTTTCCCTATACCTGAAGGCAAGAGATGATAGTCACTTTGAAATCTTGTATACCTTCGTAGAAACCTCCGATCATTGTAATTAGAAGTGATTCTGGCGCCATAGATATGGCAGATAACGTCATTCCTTAAATAGATACATGGAATAATAAATTATTTTAAAATTTATTGGTATATGAAATAAGTAAATAAAAAATTTTTTTTATCTCAAATTTGTGCAGCATATGAAATAAAACAATATTATATCTATAAAATTATTGTATAACATAGAATAATACAAGTAGGGACATCTATAGTCGATTTGTAGGACTTTTTTGTCATCAGAAACATTTGTTGCCGATTGATAATCATGCAGGCAAAGAATACTGTCTTACCTATATCGAGATATCTCTATGGGTAAGACAGTATTCTTTGATGCCGGTTTAAAAATTTTCCTATCATCGAGGCAACTTGTCGACTCTAAATTTTAGCGCCTTTTACTTTGTGTATATTTCTTTTTACAAGATAATAATGAATTGAAATTTTTAGTTAGTGTATTTATTTATCAATGTTTGTATATTTTTATAATAACATTTATTGTTATGTGACATTGGATGTATTCGTATTATTAATTTTATATTCATATTATATTCTTTTACATTCTGGATAATTATCAGAATTTTTCTAAAATTGTCCAATCTTCATAAGTGATTTGTTACTTGAGAATTTCTGCATACAACTTAAATGTATTTAAAATTTTATTTTATTTATATCCATGTTTTAATTTTATTGTACTAGTTATTATTCAATGCTGTATTAATACTTAACCTTAAATTTTTTTAATAGTGGTTTATTTACTGTTTTATTACTTTTCTTTTTGTTTTTTATGAATTATAGAAAATGTCACGAGTACGACGATTATCAATAATAGGGATCAGGAATTTTGGTGATGAAAAAGAAGAAGAGATTCGATTTACAAGACCATTAACTTTGATAATTGGTGATAATGGTGTTGGAAAAACAACAATCATCGAAGCACTTCGATACGCATCAACAGGAGAATTTCCACCTGGATCTGATAGAGGAAAAGGATTTATCCATGACCCTACGTTAAAAAAATCGCAGGTAAATAATTTATTCCATGAAAAAAGTTGAATTATTGTTAACATTTTATTATAAAATAATGAATGATATATTAAAACTTTCATTATTTCAGACAACTGTGCGAGGGGAAGTTAAAACAGAATTCGTCGACAAGTCCGGAATAGTAACAAAAGTTACAAGAGCGATGGAAGCAACGAGAACTGAATCTCAAATTAAATTCAAAACTGTCGATAATTCTATTTCTAAAGTTAATAAAAAAACTGGAGAGGTAAATTTGTAAATAATATATTTTTTATATATTTATAATTGATGTATCTTCATTTATTTAAGGAATATTCAATAAGTCATCGTTGTGCCGATGTAGACAGAGAAATGAAAGAATCATTAGGTCTATCACCGGCAATTTTAAATTATGTTATATTTTGTCATCAAGATGATGCAAATTGGCCTACGACTGATGATGGCAAAAAATTAAAAGAACGTTTTGATGAAATTTTCGACACATCGAAATATAATAAAGCACTCGAACAAATTCGTAAACTTATAAAAGAAAAAAATCAAACAGTTCGTATGTTAACTATTGAATTAAATGCTTTATCAGTGATTGTCGATGAAGTTAGAGCTAAAGAATTGAAGTTGAAAGAATATCAAGATCGACGTTTAAAATCTGCATATGATATTGAGGAAACAGCTAAAAAATTAGAACCTGTAAAAAAACAAATCAATGAGATTAATAATTCAGAAAAAAAATATATCGAGTTGACTTCAGAGAAGAAACAAAAAGAGGTTGAAGTTTATTTAGCAGAACAAGAATTGAGAACTTTAGAATCATCAATTAAAGAATTTTTTATTGGTTCAGATAAAGAGTTAGCAGCTGCCCTGAAGTCTTACGATGATGATCTTGAAAAGAAAATGGAAAAAATTGATGAGATTCAATCTAGTATATCAGATTTAACTGATAAAGAAAGTAAAATTTCAAAAAGTTTAAAAGAACAACATCAAAGAATTGGATCATTTGAATTACAAATAGAAGAGCAAAAAAGAAAAACCGGAGAAAGAAACAATTTACTCAATGAAATACTTGCGGAATGGAATATGGATCCTATAGATTCTCAAACATCGGAAGGTTTTATTCGTAATACGATTGAAGAAGTTGATGTAAACTATCAGTCCTTAGAAAAATCATTAAATGATACCCAAATAAAATTCGATAAAGAGGAGAATGAAGCTGAGAAAAAAGTAGAAAGTTTAAGAAATCATCGGATGAAAATTGATGTTGAACTCAAACGTTGCGAAAAGGAAATTTTAGACGTTAAAAATTCTATACGAGATACTAAAAACAAAATTTTGAAAGCTGATGATATTGAAAAAAAATCAAATTCTGTTGATAAAAAATTAGAAGAATCTAATAAATTAATTCAAAAACTTTCCAATGAAATAGTTGCCCAAAGTTATTCAAAATTAATCGACCAATCAATGAAATCATTAGAGAATGTTGAAGAAAAAGTTAATAAAACAGATGAATTGATGATCTTATTACAGAATCAACATACTACAAAATCAAAGATGGAGAATTTGGAATTTGAATTAGCAAGAAAAAATCAGAATAATGAAGAATTCAAAAAAAAATATGGACAACAGCTTGAAGATTTATTGGGAAAGAATGAAGTTCCAAAAAAGGACTTAAAAAACACCGTAAATAAATTTCAGCAAACTTTAAATGAGCGTTTGAATAAATTGCGTCAACAAGTTGTTCAAGAGCAAAAGAAAGCAACAACTCTAGAGACAACAATTGAACATCTACGAAAAGAATTTCGTGCAAAATTAGCAGAAACTCAATGTGATAAACATAAAATCACTACTCATTGTGGTGATTATAAAAATTATGATAGTACAATATTAACTTTAAGCGCCAAACTTAGAAAACTTCAAAATCAAAGAGGAATGTTTGCTTTTCAAGGTATGGCTTATTCTGAATATGTTAAAAAATTATCAGAACCTAATCCATGTTGTCCTTTGTGTGACAGAGATTTTTCAAAGTCTTCTGATGCCCTCAAAGTTGCAGATAAGTTGAAGGAAGAAATAAAAAATCATCCTGACAGATTAAAAAGCTGTGAAGAAGAACTTAATAAAATAAAGACTGATCATGAAGCCTTACTAGCTTTAAAAACAACTGTGGAAAAAATTTTTAAATTTGAAGAAGTTGAAAAAGATGAATTGAGAAAAAAAATTGATGAAAATCGGACAATACTAGAAGCTTCAAAAAAAAGTATTGAAGACATGCATGTAATGATATCTGGGTTAGAAAAAAAAATTCAGATGTGTAATAATCTCTCCGGATATCTAGCTGTATGGGATCAAAATTTAAATGATATTGAACAATTGGAAACTAATTATAACGAAATCTTGTTAGATATGGATGATTCAAACTTCCGTGATGATCGAACAATCGAAGAAGTTCAAAACGAACGAGAAGAATTGAAACAAAAAAAAAAAGAAATTCAAGACGAAATAGCATCTCTCCGTAAAAAACTAGATTCACAAAATGAAGAAATCAAAAAAGCAAAGGATTTAAGATCAAAGGTTTTGGAAGAGCAATTAAGTATTCATAATGAAGTTCAAAACCTTAAACAGTGGAGAGAATCTTTAACGCAACTTCTTAAAAAAGAAGCAGAATTAATAGATACAATTCAAAGTTTACAACAGCAATTAACGACAGCTCAAAATAAACTAGATAATGGACTTCAAGAGTTGGAAAATTTAAAATCAAACCATAGAGAACAATTAGATAAAGAAAGGAAAAAACTGTCAGAATATTCAAAGCAAATAGATAAATTAAATTCACTACATCTCGAAGTTGTTTCACTACAAGCTAAGAAAATTGAAATTCGTTTAGAAGAAACAAAAAACGAAATGACTGAAAATGAGAAAATTTTGGAAGACATTAAATTAAAGGCTACTCAATTTAAACAACGACTACTAGAATACAAGGAAGATATTTCATCGTACGAACTCCGAAAACGAAATTTAAATGACAATTCTAAATATCGTCAGTTTAATTCAAAAGTGGTAGAAATAAAAGAACTTATTAAACAATTAAGTGGCCAAATTCAAGAACTAGATATTGAAAATTCAAAGAAAAACTTGGAATTTTTAAAGCGAAAAGCAGAGAAACTTGAAAAAGAAATAAATATCGCTATGGGAAGTGAAAAAGAATTGCAGCACAATATATCACAATTGGAGGATGAGCTTCAAAAAGAAGAGTACTGCACTTCAAGAAATAAATACCGGAGTAAATGGTTAGAAAAAGCAGTTACAGAAAATGTAATTTCTGATCTTCAAATTTATGTTAAAGCCTTAGATTTAGCCGTAACTAATCACCATGAAGAACGTATGAATAGTGTTAATAAATCCATGAAAAATCTATGGAATCTCATTTACACAGGTACAGATACGACTTCTATTCAAATTCGAACTGATGCAACAGTTGAAGGTAAAGCACGTCGTCAATTCAATTATAAACTTGTCCAAATAAAGCATGGTGTCGAAATGGATATGAAAGGTCGATGTAGTGCAGGTCAACGTGTTCTCGCATCGATTGTAATTAGATTAGCATTAGCTGAGACATTTTATGATCAATGCGGTATGTTAGCACTTGATGAACCAACTACAAATCTTGACTCTCATAATGCTGCCAAACTTGCTGATACACTATATCAATATGTAAGCTTACGAGCTGCTGACCAGAAGAATTTTCAACTTATAATAATTACTCACGATGCAAATTTTATTCATAAATTGAGTCAGTTGAATAAAAATGGTGGTTTTTATGAATTGTATCGTAATAATGAAGGTTTAACTTCTATTCAATATCTTTCAATTGATGCTGAAAATCAACGACGTCGCCGGCTCGACGATGATGTAAGTGATGAAGAAAGCCAGGTTAATAATGCTATTAAAGCTCCGAATAAACCGAGTAGTATTCCAAATAGCAATTCAAGTAAAAAAAGGACAATTTCTCCATCTACTTCGCAGAGTAGTTCTAAAAAACCTTTTACATTTAAATTATAAGATTAAAAATAAATAAGTTACATTCTGTACTACCTCGATATATAATATTTTTGGTTATTAATAAAGTTATTATAAAAATATAATTTTTTACTTATGGTTTTAAATATTTATCCATATGTGCAGTGAAAGTACTCATTTATTAGCTAATTACACTTTTTTTAACTTGAATGTAAACATAACAAAGTTTCAAACCACAAAGTTATTTATAGTTCATTGAAATTTAATTGATAAGAGGCGCTAAAAAATATCACAAAAAAAGAATAGATGGCGTCGTACGACAGACATTAGTAGAGTCTGGCAAGATAGGGTCAGGCAAGAGTAAAGTCCCTTAAGTTCTCATGGGACTTTAGGCAGGAATCGAACAATATGGCGTCGTCTTGCTAGACTCTCTCTTGAGGGACTCTAGACATTAGAAGTAGTCATGTTGGTACTACATTCTTTTGAAAGCAATTTCTATGATTGTCACTCGTTAGTGAAATTTATATATTGCACTATTGCAACAAGCATTTCCATAGAATTGTTTGATTGAATTTGTGTATTGTTGTAGATTAGTATTATTCATCAATAATTCAATAAATTAAAAAGTTTTCTCTGCTATTATTATCATTGCATATAATTTATTTAGTCATCTAAACAATCCAGTCATAGTTTTTATAGTGCAATTTTAACTGTCATTTTCACATCTATTCTGAACAACCGGGAATTGTATTTAAGTTTTATCTGTCAGTTTTTGAAAAATTTTGTGTTTATCAATTTGTAATTACTACCAAACAATAATCATTCATAGGATTAATAATGAATTACAACTGTTATAAGTGTTAGAGCATTTATGTAATTCAAAGTGGTAAGCAAATGAATAAAGTAGATAGCGTCATTCTTAAATGAAAACATGATGTCATAACATTCAAAATTTATTGTTCATCATTTTAACGTATCTATGAGTTTTCTAGAAAACTAGAAATATAATTTATTTAATCCATTAAATAACCTGAAATTTATATTTTTACTCATCAACGCAGGTAAAAGAAGTGCGCTAGAGACTATAATTTTAACTACTACCAAAATTTCCACTATAAAGTAAATAATTATTATGCAATATTAATCATTCTAACCTATAACAAAGAATAATTATTTTTATTTAATTCAATTTTATTTATTGTAAATGATGAACATAACTGGATTTTAAGGTTATGTAAATATAATACCTTTCTCAAATAAACCTAAACAATAGAAAATATTTTATGGTATTGTTAACGGTAATTTGATTCAATGAATATTCATATAAATTCGCAAGTTTATCAATGGAACAAGTCGAGATGAAGGTTTATCTTAATTTAACTGTTGAAAATTATTTTCAAATAATTGTTACAAAAAAATTTGTTTATAAATTGCATGATATTGATAAAAATTACTTATAAATTATGCAAGTAGTGAAGAACAATTGAAAACAAATCATTTTTATCTCAAATTATGTATCTTTGGTTACAGGAAAAGCCATGATTATAAGGTGATAACCATAGCAGAAGTAGAAGATGGCAAATAAAACTGGCTTTGTGAGTCTCCACACATAAATAATTTCTATAATATATTATTACGTATATTGTCATTATATAAACTCCGTTCTCACTTTGATCATTGACCTATCTACTTCGTTTTTTCACTTTATTTCTACTCATTTTTGATAAGAAATTTAAAGAAGTTCATTTTAATCAAATTAGTTAAAATAGATAGATAGATAATATCACCGTCTAAGATTCTAGTACTAATTTCTTTGCAGCTTTAATTCTTTGATTTAGAGTATATGAATATTATTTGATAGTAATAGTTGAACGTTTTAGGCAGCCTCAAGCAAGATATTGAAATACTTTTGTATGGAACTTCGGTCTTTACCTCTTCCAAGTATCCTTGACCTTCTTCTTTAAGAACTTGTATTCTTTCTTCACTTTTTCTAGTTTCATTTTTCGTACTCGTCCGAGTTCATTTATTTGTATTATTCTCTAGTACAATTGACTTCACAGTATTATGTATGACTAATATATTTTATTTTATTTAACAAAAGTATCAACATTCAAGTCACATTTTCTTATCATCTATATCGCCGTTGTTCTCATTCAGTTCTTCATTTATCCATTCTTACTACTAAGATCAATATTTTATAACCCACATCGATAGAAAAATTGTTACAATTCTTCAGATTATTTATCTTTCTGATAAGATAATTAATTGCTTCATTCTAAAAAAATTTTACAACGTATAGTGGAGAATTTGAGAGAAGTTATTTGTTATTATTACACATATCAAATAATGTGGTTTTATGTAGTATCATTATCACTTTCTACAACTAGTTATTGGAATTCCCATTGAATTCTTTAGAAATTTGTTGGATTTAAAAGTGAAATAAAATTATCTCATTAAACTCATAATTATCAACATATAATTCTTAATTAATGAATTTGTACAAAAATTTAAAAATATAATTTATTTCCGGTAAAGCCGACAATGAGATTTGGTCGCCATACCAAGGTTGCAATCTCGCCTATTTATATCACAGACCTAAATTTCGATTTTTTTTATTCAACTATTTTCATTTCACTTTAGTCTGATAGCCAGAGTATCAGACAGTACTTCAAGTAAATCATTTTGTTCATTCATAAAAGTGTAATAATTCATTTTTCTTTACATAAGTGACGACAAAGGGAAGAAAAATTTCTGAGGAAAAAACTTTTCCTTTATTATCTAACTTTTTTCTTGAGCAATTATATTTTTATAATTTTATTGAATTAAATTCTGCTCAAAGTCAAAGAAAAGCCACTATCTGAACTTATTTTCAAAAGATTGGACTCATTATTATAAACAAAAAGAATTTAATCTCAGTACGTTATGATTAGGGTCTATTGATTAGGATGATAGCATGAGTAAATAGAATCTACAGGTGACCACCTGTTCGACAGACAGCGGTACTATTCGTCATGGTGCACTCGTTTCTATCATTGTATGTAATGCATTAAGTGCAAATGTGTGCCCTTGTGTACATATCGAATAGGTTTCTGTACTGTCTCACGTGGTAGTGTTGCTGGTACGCATTAACATTGTAACACGAGCTCCAGTTATTTATCGTCGTACCATTTAGTAACAAACTAAGGTCTTTTAACATATAAAATCGTTGAGTGCATTCTGGAATGTCGATTAAAAGACGTCAAAGTTGGTATAAATCCGAAAAAGTGAGTATTTTGTGATATCACATCAGTAAAAGAGCTCATTATAGCCTTGACTAATCTATAAACAAATTTGAATAAGAAAATAAAAATAAATGGATAAAACAATCCCGATTACTTTGTGTAAAATTGACGTCAGTGTTCATCCATGTCCATATTTGTCACATGAGCTCAAAAAAAACCGGTCCTTCTACATTTTATTTCAAGGACGTATGAGTATATTTTGCACAATTATTTTACTTAATCAATGTTCAAGTAGTAATAATAAGAATTGAATTATTACAATAAATACGTTATTAATATTTATTGCTCAATAACACAATAATTTACAGCTGTTCAAAAAATTTCCAATATTTAATAGTTACTTTTGTAGTGAGAAAAGTTTAATAACAAAAATTTTCCAGAAATACAACTATCATTATTTACTATTTTTCGTTGTATATTTACATGAAGTGGAAAAGAAAACTATACATTTTTACTGTACAGTAAAACAAAGTGTCAAAAATTCTAATTAGTTAACGGTCTTGTGATTAAAAGATAAACATTATACGAATATATATGATCACAACACGATAACTGTAATGTAATACAACACGATCTAATAAATCTTGTAAATAATGACATTAATCATACTATTTACAACGTTATTCCTGCAGGATTATGAAAAAAAATACCTTTAAAACAAGATTATCTAATTGTATTACTAGTATGCAACATATATCAATTCTCTCAAGCAATATGAGTTTCACTCTTCAAGACGTTGGTGTAAATTAATATCTAGCCGTGCTGTATCTTGCGATACAGATATAGTTTTACTAGAGATATCGAGAGATCATTAAAAAGAGAAAGAAAAGAAAAGTGAAAATGATAAAAAACAAAATAGCCAACGAGTAGGAAGTAAGAAGAAGCAAGAAAATAATGAAAATGATAAATGGTGAATGAATTCAAGACGAGCAATATTTAGGTATGGATATAGAAGAAGAGGGTGTGGTGTGAAAAACACTCTCGATAGTCGGTTCAAGCAAAAAAGTCATTGCAACAGAGGCGTGCCGAGTTAACCGTACGATGACGCCAATCAGTGATTACCTCATCGACCTTTATCGTTTGGAGTCTTCTCTCTAGTTGACTTTACTCTCAGTTCAACTTACATGGACCAAGGTATGCTTGTACAGCATTAGCTACTTAATCGTATGCTTTCTATTCTTCTCATAGATTTGAAATGATTAAACTAATTCTAAACAATACGTAACATACAACAGGTGGCTTGTGGCTCTTCGTTCCACATTATGATCAACAATTGGTTGCACATCGTTGACTGCTAAGAGAAAACATTGAATTTTGAGAGGATGAAAGCAAGCAAGCGTTTCAAACTTCTTGTCTTCTACAATTAAATGAAGAGAACATCATTAATTTCTTCCACGAGCCTTAATATTTTTGTAACATGAAAATTGACAGGTTCATGTACTTTTTTATGAGCTCCATAACAAGTTTATTCTTGCTTATAATTTATATCTAATGATTTCCGGATATTTATTGAATTCAATGATACAATGTGACCTCGTAATGTCGACTATCAACAGCCAACCGTTGCAAATTCCACAGCATCAGGTATTCACATGAGTTTAAGGCCGGCTGAACTCGTTCCTGATAAGCAGCGTGCCGAAGAAAACGGTGTTTGCTTCATTCTCGTGAAGACTGAAAATGAAAGAGGAGGAGGTACTGTAGAGATGAAAGAATGGAGTTTAGGAGTATTCAGGAAACTTGTGGAGATTTTATTTGCTTTATTTTATTCTGATGAGTTTCAGAAGTTCTTTATATCTGTTCTCAATCAAACTATCTTTATGCCGCGGATTGTGAAGAAAAAGGATCGGCCGATTGTCGGACATTGACTGTGGTTATCATTATCGTACGATTGTTGCACGATTTTGCAGACGTACTTATTGTAGTGTGTAGATTGAGAGTAGAGTCTTGACAGCGACTTGTTGACGAGACTCGACTCCTACACGATATTGAAAGAAAAACAGAGAGAGGAAGCGTTTTGCGCTTGCCACCAACCAAGCTTCAACGATCAACCAGTCTCTCTTGGACCTTTCGTGTATGCGGAACTGACCCCGCTTGAAGTTTTAACATTTCTTTAAAGGAGTATTTCAATTCCAATTAATTCACTGATTGAAATTTTTCTCCAATAAAATATAATTTTTAAAAAAATATTTCATTAATATTACTGTGATAAAAATTCAAAAATCAAGCAAATTAATTGCTTTTTTAATTAATTAAACATGAAGAGTATTTATTCTGTACGAATTTGAAATTTAAATAAATGGAATGTCACGAGTATAATTGTGTTAGTTTTACAAGAGTGTTGCATGGAGATTAATAAGTGATTTTGGATAATTAATTATCGTTTAATACGATTATTATTGATACGGAAATGTATCCGCGTTGCGTGCAAACAACCATGCAGTCATTGTTAAAAATAACCGAACCATCATCGTAATAATGATGAATAATGATCATATTTTTAATAAAATTTAGGCTGAAAATTGTGACAATTAGATAAAAATAATAATTTTAGTGATAAGACATGGTCAGAAGACATCATTAGAAATTACAAAAATATTTTCATTTATTTCATATAAACCATGAATTTTAATGATATAAATAATTTTATGAAGAATTGTGTTTCTTTAATGATAAAGCAGTATGACAGTTCAATAATAATAACCAAAGTGATAACATACTTTAGAAATAATATTGGTTTCATAAAAAACAGTTAAAATAATAAAAAATATGCATTATTCTGCAAAATTTTTATAAAAATTAATGACAATTAATCGAGTGCAAAAATAGGATAAAAAGTTTTTTTTCAAAATTTTCAATGTTTTATAAGACTTTCATATTAATAAGTGTACAGTGTATTATTAACATATTATCATCATGATTACAGAATGGGTGAGATTTTAATAATTGAATTAAAAAAATCATTTTTATTACATATATTACAACATTAAGTAACTTTTAACATATGAGAATAAATTTGGCAAGAAGATAAATGCAGCCGTGACGTATTATTTATTTAGAAAATTATTTTTAATTCATTGACGACAATATATAAAATAAAACGATTGTAGCACAAGGCCATCTGATTCACAAGGAATTTTTTTCAATGTTGTGAGCAAAAAGAACACATTCGCATTCAGAACATCTAATTAATCTCTAAGTATTTTATTAAAGAATTAATTTGTGGCGCCAGCGTTACTTTCAATGTATCTTTTACAATAATTGTTTGTTTATTGCTCAATCAAAATTATCATGCGTATGATCGACGGCGTACCGATATTAAAAGATAAATAGACCAGTGTATTGTATCACGATTTTACCTATTGTCTTCCCAATAAGTCAAGTGTCGGTTTAAATCTCTCGCTGAATTACTAATGACTATTTCACTATAATTTATTATATGATACCTTACATCAATACCCCAAAGTCATTTTTAACCATATTTTTTCTTATTTAAAATTCTTTTGCAGTCATGATACTTCATGTGGTCTTTAAAACAAACATCATCCTTCAAATGACATTTATTGTTTAATATTTATCAACTTAGTTGGAAGTATATTGCATATTAACTCTTTGTGTTTATAAATTACTTTTAATGGATTTTTTTATTATTTCTGAATGTTTAGAATTTTTTAATGCAGTTAATCATTGGCTATAATTTGAAGTGTATATATTATGATAAATTAACTTGTTTTTGATATTAATTAATGTTTATAAAATATTGATTTTTACTTTATTTCCGGATATTTACAATACCTTTCAAGTGATGTGTAATAATTTTTAACGATATAAAGAGAGGAGGGTGCATATATGAAAGTTTAAACTGTATTGTATTCTGAACATTCAAAGAATTTCCATTGCTCAATGACTGACTTGTGAGTGTCCTGAGTGATCTTTACTGAGTGTAAAAATTTCACGACAGTAAGTTACACAATTGGTTGTCAACGGATTCATAAACAATTGTATGAATGAGATTATAGAAAAAAATTTCTTTCTTTTGAGCTCTTTTCACTTTGCTTCCCTTTTTAAAAATAAATGGATAAAAATCTAAACACTTTTAGATGTGAATCATCTGTAAGTTAAAAAAGTTATTAAATAAATAAATAACGTGTCTTTTATATTTTCAGTTAGACACATGGTTCGGCCGGCCAAAAAAGTCTGGTCGTGGGGGCGGTGTAAGAACTGGATCTGGCTTCAACACCATTCCCCGACCTCACTCTGGCGATGATTTTGATGAAATTGAACAACAGAGGTCGATTATCGAAAGAATGGATGAGGAGACGGTGAACGATAGATTTGAAAAGATGCTGGTAAGTTTTTAATGTAAAAGAACTCTTATTACGAGTAAAATAGCTAATTGTTATAAACGTAAATTAACTAATAATACTTTTAAATTTAGGCAAATATGAATCTAACGGAAGAGAAAAAAGAACCCTTGAGACAGCAGCCAGAAACAAAGAAAAAAGAGATGCTGGTACTCCATTATAAGGGTAGCATCCAAGAAAATCGATCCAAGTTCGATAAACCTGCTGATTACATTCAATATCTTGCTCAGCCTGATCTCAGCGTTAATAAAATTTATAGCTGTGTTGAATCATTGAGAATCGCTCTTACAAATAACCCCCTGAGTTGGGTCCAGGAGTTTGGAACCGTAGGACTTAAACAAGTTCTCGCAACTCTCAATGAATGCTATCGAAAGTAAGTTTTTTTTTTTGAAAAAAAAAACATAAATGTAATTTATTGTTCTCGGTATAATAACTTATATTTAAGATGATGAAAAAAAGCTCATGATATTTATTCTAATAGTAATGTTTTTTATATTCAATTTACTTGGCAGTGCATCTATACATTTTGATAGGTAAATAATGAATAAATATAAAAACATAGTTGAGCTTAAAATAACGTAAAATAGCCTTTTGTCAACCAGTTTTCAGCATTAATTATTGCTTTAATCTAATTAGTATATCAATTATTCTTATTATACTAAAAGAAAAAAATTATAATTTAATAATGCTATATATAGAAAATTTGCTATTTCACTTTTTTTTATTAAAAATTTTATTTACATTCGAATACAATATGTAAAATTTGCTTTCAAAAAAAAAAAAAATACCTTATTGATAGTAATTTTTTTCTTCTTGTGTTATTATGCTATTGAATTTGCACGGCTATTTTTTTTAGACTTAAATTACAAAATTCAGTAGATACTTCATGTTATATATATATACATATATATATCGATATTTTTTTATTTAGTGACAATCGATACGAACGAATACAGTATGAATGTATTCGTTGTCTGAAGGCAATAATGAACAATACGGTCGGAATAAAAGAGATGCTGGCACATCACGAAGCACTGACGATTGTCGCACGCTCATTGGAACCTAGTAAGCCGTCAGTCATGTATGAGGCAGTGAAACTTCTCGGTGCTGTTTGTCTCATTTCAAGCGACAGTCACAAGAAAGTACTTGATGCAATAACCATGAATGGAGAATTTAAGGGACGCGAGAGATTTCAACCAATTGTTCAAGGATTGATGAATAAGCAAAATGAGAATTTAAGAGTCGTTTGTTTACAATTAATCAATTCAATTATATCATCTGCTGAAGATTTAGATTTCCGATTACACTTGCGAAATGAAGTCATGAGAGTAGGGTTATCAAATATTTTGGAAACTTTAGAAAATGATGAATCTGAAGATTTAGCGAGGCATTTGAAAATTTTTAATGATTATAAAGAAGAAGATTATGAAGAATTTGTTCAACGTTTTGATAATGTAAGACTTGAATTAGATGACGTAAATGACTGCTTTGAAGTAGTGAAAAACATGGTGATGGACACCATGGCTGAACCATATTTTTTATCAATACTCCAGCACCTTCTTTTCATTCGAGATGATGCACTAGTCAGGCCTGCATATTATAAGCTCATTGAAGAGTGTGTTTCCCAAATAGTTTTACACAGATCGGGTTGTGATCCAGATTTTAGCGCTACTAAACGATTTCAGATTGATGTACAGCCACTCATAGATACTTTAGTAGAAAAATCACGAGCAGAAGAAGAAAGACGATTAGTAGAGATGTCTCAAAAGTTAGAAGAAGCAATTTCTAGTAAACAAGAAGCCGAAGCAAAGCTTCAACATGCAGAAAATAAAATTAGAGAGTTAGAAGCAGGAGGAGCAAAGCTTGGAATTTCATCGAAATTATCTGGAGTATCACCACCTCCTCCACCGCCAATTCCAGGCATGGCTGGACCTCCTCCGCCTCCAATGCCAGGTACAAGAGGTCCACCACCACCACCGATGCCTGGAATGGGTGGCCCACCACCACCTCCAATGCCAGGCATCAGTGGACCACCTCCGCCACCAATGCCAGGCATGGGACCTCCACCACCACCTATGCCAGGTATGGGACCACCACCTCCACCAATAGGAGGAATTAAATTATCTATGGCAAATAATTTAGATACTCTTCCTTATGGATTAAAACCTAAGAAGAAGTGGGAAGTTGATGGACCTTTAAAAAGAGCCAATTGGAAAGCAATTCTTCCTCATAAATTGAATGAAAAGTCTTTTTGGGTCAAAGTTCAAGAAGATAAGCTTGCTAGTCCTGAAATTTTAAATGGATTAGCACAAAAATTCTCGTCTAAGCCACCTACTAAAAAAATTGACGATGTTGTTGATAAATCTTCGTCAACCAAAAAAGTAAAAGATCTCAAAGTATTGGATTCTAAAGTTGCACAAAATATTTTAATATTATTAAATGGAACTTTAAAACATATGACTCATGAAGAAGTCAAGAGTTGTTTACTGAGATGTGAGGGTCCTGTTATTGACGATAATGTTTTACAAGGATTAATTCAATATCTACCTCCACCCGATCAATTAAATAAATTACAGCAATATAAGGACTGCTTTGATGATTTAACTGAAGCCGAACAGTTTTGTGTTACGATATCGACTATTAAGAGACTGTTACCTAGACTTAGATCATTGAGTTTTATGTTAAAATATGAAGAACTTGTTCAAGATGTCAAACCGGATATTGTAGCTGGCACTGCTGCTTGTGAAGAAGTAAAAAATAGTAAAAAATTCGCCAGAATTTTAGAGCTTATTCTTCTATTAGGAAATTATATGAATTCAGGATCACGAAATGGACAAGCTTTTGGCTTTGAAATTAGTTTTCTTGCTAAGGTAAGCTATTTGTTATTATTTTTTAAAAAATAAATAAATTATCATCTACTTTTACTATTATTTGTTTCTCAATAAATTTGTCTATTTTATTTGAAAATAAAAATATTATCTTGTCAATGTTTTGGTAGTTAACAAGTACAAAAGACGTGGAAAACAAGGAAACACTCATGCATTACTTAGTAGACACGATTGAGAGAAAGTTCCCCGAGTGCCTTAACTTTATAGAAGAATTATCCCACGTAGATCGAGCAAGTCGAGTGTCATTAGAAAATATTCAACGAACTCTACGTCAAATGGATGCTAACATAAGAAACTTAGAACAAGATTTATCCAATTCAAAAATTCCACAAAGTGATCACGATAAATTCAATGAAATAATGACTCCGTTTGCTAAAAGGGCTCGAGAATCTTACGAAGTAATGCATAATATGTTTAAAAATATGGACACCTTATATAGTGATATTTCTGACTTCTTCGCCTTTGACAAGCAAAAATATACAATAGAAGAATTTTTCGGAGACATTAAAAAATTTAAAGATGATTTTCAGGTAAGTTAGAAAAAAAATCAATTAATGAAACATACAACTTCACGACCAATAACGTTTTTTGATTTTTTAGCAAGCACAAAAAGAGATTCTCAAGATGCGAGAAGGTGAAGAGAAGCAAAGAAGAGCACGTGAAGCTCGAGAGAAAGCAGAGGCTGAACGAGCGGCTCGTGCAGCTCGAAAACGTGCGCTCGTTGACATGAATGCCCACGAAACGCAGGAAGGAGTAATGGATAGTTTGATGGAAGCATTACAAACTGGATCTGCCTTTAGTCGACCTGATCAACGACGAAAACGCCAAAATCGAGTCGCCGGTGGTAAGTTTAAACTTGTGAGGAGTAAAAGCAAGGCAACTAAAGTCATTTGGTGGAATCCTACTGAATTTCCTAAGCTTTTTGATGGATCATTAGCACGACCTAATCCTCAGCAACTATATTCTTTCTCTACAACTTATCTTCATAACAATGATCAATTAATATCACCAGCTTTTGCGTCAAAATCTCTACCTTACTGCTTTTCTACACCTGAAGACAATCATGAAGAATTAAAAAACCAATTATTAAATATTGCTTGCCAAGCACCAAAACGCGTTAATATTGTTGAACGAGTTGACGCATTTAAAAAAACTCAAACTCGATTAAAAAATATTGACGTTTATTCAAATTCTTCTTCTCCTTTTCTTCATTCAACTTTTAAAAGAGATATTAACAAAATAATTACTCAAAAATTTTCAGAACACTATTAATAATGAAATTTATTATTTAGATAAATCGACGGTTACTGTTCAATTGATTGATAACAACACGTTACTTACAAATTATACCGGTACAATACCTAAAAAAAGACGTATTGATAACTCAACCAAAACAACAATGTAACAAATTTTTGATAAATGCGATGCTGTTGTTAGTTCATTAACTATAAAAACTCGTGAAGAAAATCAACCGAAAAATTCGCCAAAAAAATATTTCTAAAATTTCTGATCAAAATCAATACAAAGTCTTATTTAAAAGTGATGATTTTTTATTTTTAATACGCAATGAAAATCATAAAATAAATAACGGTCATTTAAATTTTCAATTACCAAATGAACTTTTAAGTTCCTATCAAGTAAATAATAATCATGAATTTTTAATAAATGATAAATCATCAGAGATTAACAAAGAACGTGTCAATTTAGCACTTAAATACTCAGAACGTATATAATTTTTATCTCCCAACAAAGAATCAAACTTTAAACGTTTGGTTAATGTTTCAAGCGAAAAGAGACGATAGAAATTCTGGCACAAGTCAAAGACTCAGGGTTCACCGTCTGTATCACTTGTAAAATATAATAAATTATAAGGTGATGACAATGATCTTGCAATCTTGTATCACAAGTAAAGAGTTCTTTGAAATAATAAAAAAAATTATTACTATTGTGATTCAGATGAGTTTAAGTGACATTAATTCAAACTACTTCGAAGAGATTTTTTTTCAATTTTCTTACAATGCTTTTATAATTTTTGCATGATAATTGTTGTATTAGAAAAAAATCAAAGACTTCATTATTTTTATGCATTTTGTGCTAATAAATTTTACTCTATTATTTATAAATCGATTTTTTTAATTCTAGACACTCCTAATTTTTGTTGCTATTCTAATTAATCTAATTGTAATCATGATTAATTATTAAAATGAAATGATATTAAAATCAATTTTTATCATAATCTATCTATTACAGCAGAAAGACGTGCTCAACTTAATCGAAGTCGATCGAGAACAGGACTTGTAGGAACTGGATTAATTGGACGAGAATTATCTACGTAAGTAATGATTACTTAAATGCTCTATTAAGTAATTACTTTATTGGAAAACTTTTAATTTCTCTATTTAAACTACCAGCTCTAGCTCCAATCTTTCTGTAATTCAATTTTGTAACGAAAACATTAATTTTAATTTTTTGATTAATTTTAACAGGACTTCGTTTGTTTTGTAGGGAACTTCTGGGCTCTGCGTAGCATGTAGTAAGGCTTTGTCTCCGTTCAACAATTAGCTGTGATGTTTTATACAATCAAGAAGGTTTATTATGATAATTAACAAAATAACTTAATGCCAGACAATGTCTTCCTTGTATTGATTTTAAGAGAGACACTTTTAAAAATTATCATTCAGATTTATATTATTCAATATAATTATTAAAGTGATCTTGTATCATAAAAATTGATATGATTTACCTGAATTAGGTACTTATTTCAATTTATATTAATTATGGCCTATTATATTGTACAAAATGATTTATTATATTTTTTCATCTTGCATTTACTTTATTTTGTACATTTAAACATGTAAATTGTTATTTTTATATATTGAGAATCTTTCTATACTTTAAATTGTATTAAACATTTACTTTCTGTATATTTGAATTTTTGAAGATTCTTTTTAAAGTTATGAAAAGCAACAAAACGCAATTGATAATTAGTTGATTATTTCCTAATAAACAGTAAAAAAATGTAATTAATTATCCTAGTGAGTATAATAAATGCTCATTTTAACTTTTATACAGTTACTATTCTTTTAAGAATTTTCGAATTTTTACAGAGAAGAGTAATATTGTACATATTGCAATTTGTTAATACATATTAAGATAAATAAGAAATAAAATAACATATTCATTCATAAATGTTATGATAATAACACAATTTATTTAAAATATAGAAAAATACGTTTATCTGATAAAAAATTTCAATAATTGTACTCATTTTTCAACCATTGGCGTAGTCTCATTTAATATTTTAAAAATTAAGCAATTGTTCAATCATATTTATTACAACAAAAATCCAGTAATCGTTCAATTATATTAACAATTAGTGCCAATTACAAATGAAAATAAAACATTTTTGCTACAAAAAAAAAATAAAATTGTAATTGACAATGTATTGTTTCACCAATACATCTAAAGAAATAATTTTGTAAATATTTACAAATAAAATACGACCATTTTCAATAACTATGATATTCTGTTTTATTTATAAATGATGCCTATATACCTTACAAATCTATTTTTTCATTCATTATCTTCACTAATTAGAGCATCAATGTTTTTATAAATATTTATCGTTTTACGCATGCGTAGAAATTTTGACCATCGCCACCTTCTTGTGTTCGTACCAACTACTGATTAAAACGGATCTCGGAAAATGATTAAAAAAAAATAAAGATGTTGGATAAAATTTTTGATCATTAAACTTGTTTATTTAATAGAAAAAAATAATTAACTTTCATTCTAATGAGTCAACATATCAATTTATCTTTAGATACAGTATTTTTTTGTATTTAAAATAATGGAAAGTGATTATTCAACAAAGACGAGGTTAGAAAATTTTTAAGTGTAAATATACGTACTGAAGATGAAAATAACTTTTTCACTTATTGAAACTTAATAATTATATTTAGTGTCAGTAATAATAATGTATATATGTACACAGTAAACATAAAAATAACCTGAATATTTATAAACACATACAAGATTTTATATTGATAAATTATAAATAATGAAATTACAATGGTATAAAATAACGTAAGATTCGACTCTTCATTTGATTCTTTTATTCTTATCATTGTAATGAAAAAATAATTGCAGCTTCAAATAGTGTAATGATAATAATATTTATTTATCTGATTTATTTTACAGAAGTGATTCAGTGCAACGGAAAATATGGGCACAAAGGGTATTAATAATTTTCTGAAATTATCGATATTAACTAGTAAGTAATTTTCCATAAAACTAATAAATTTATCAATCAGAATTAAAAATTTTCAATTAATTGAATACAAAATTATTAACAAGCCATTTTTACAATTAATTTGACAGCAACAAGTGATGGCCGAGAAAATAGAAAATGATACTAAGCCTGTGATAAATTTGGAGGATGATAATTTATTCGAGTTGAAATGCCTAATCAAAGCAACAGAAATTCTTCTCTCTGCTCGCTGCGAAATTGGAAAACGACAATTGTTAGCGTTCACCACTCGACATTCAGATATAGGTCTTTTTTATCAACCTGATTCTAATCATTTACCGTTTATTAAGCGGATACCATGGTTTCGTGCTCCAAACCAAGCTATTTCTGCTCTCTGTTTTGATCTAACTGGTTCATGGCTTTTAACAGCCTGTATAGATGGATCTCTATATATTATTCCAGTTTTAGCATTATTAGATGATCAACATGTAACAGATCACAAATGGTCTACGAATGATATTACTCCTTTATCTATCATTGATCATCAGTCTTCCTTTTCTCGGTAAGTTAAAGAAATAATATTTATACAAAAATATTATTAAAAATGAAACACATGTTTTCAGACCTCGTGCATTAACTTGGTGGCAAGGAGTAACTCAATGCAGTCACATAGGAATAATAGGAACAGAAGAAGGTGAGATCATTTTTATAAATTTAGAAAATGGTCAGTGGATCGATTCTACTCGTGTTAATGGCAGTATATCGAGTCTTCATATCTGCCAAGATAATAGTTTAGAAATAGTTTCTCTTTTAATAACAAGTAAAACTCAACAACAATGGAGAATAATTTTAGAACAACGTTCGAATGGTTGTATTTTTTCTTCAAACAACGAAAGAGCATGTTCGTCATTTCTTCCTTCACAATTTGATCGATTCAATGATGATACAAAATCTTTGCCACAGACACGGTCACGTCTTCAAGGTCTTAAACAACTGTCTGTAGAAAAATTAACAATTTTGAGAAAAAAGTTGGCCGAAAGTCGAACTAAAAATGCAATAAATTCTCAACCACGTCGAGACAGTAGTAGTAGCAGTGGAAATGAAGAAATATTGTCAGAATCATCTCCAAAATTATCATCTAAGGGCAAAGATTCACTTATATTGGAACCTCTTTTAGAAGACATTCTTTTATCTCCACAATATACTAGACAAGGTCAACATCTTTATACAGCCTATTGCGTTAGCACAAATCATATCACAATCCATGGCACAGATATTTCTATAGTTCCCTTCCATATGTATAAAATGCCACATGTCTGTAAAGACATTTTACTTACTCAACGATTTTTTTTTATTACTGGATCAAATAGACGATCTCTCTCAATTATTTCCTGCCCATTATCTGAAACCAAAATTAGTGATGAATCTGAATTTAATCCAGAAGCAATGATAGGGCGTTTCGAATTTGAAGATTCACACGAAATTATTATAAATATCTATCGTACAACAGAATACAAGGAGTCTGAAGAAAATTCCAAAGAAGAAATAAAGATTTTACCAACGAAAATTGAAGATATAAATATTGAATTACCTTTATTTGATACTTGTTTAATAGTAACGAATTATGGGATTTATAAAATTGTTTTAAGAAGGCCTTTATTGAATGTTTTTATAGAATTAGCTTTAAGTAATAAGAGCAATATTGAAAGAGCAGCACGTATAGGTGTTGTTTTCGGATTAAATGTTCCTCAATTATTTGAGGCAGCTGGTGATATTCATTTAACGAATAGCAAATTTCACGAAGCGGCAATGTTATATAAACTATCAAAATGTAGACTGCTGAAAGGCGTATTGAAGACGGCGGCGAATGGTCATACTGCTAAATTATTAAGATGTTTAAATTATTGTTTATCACCACCAGCAGTCATTGAACTCACAACAACTACCAGAATTCACTTATCTAATCTCACAGTCTTTGCATTCAGTGAATTGATTCTTCGCGCATCGCCCCAAGAAGCCAATACATTACATAAAGATTTCTTAATGTTTTTATCTAAAAATACTTTTTACGACGAACGGTGGGTTGTTGATGTTGTTGGGCAAACATGTCTCTGGAAAGTGCTTCATCATTTAGCCACTCAGAGAGGGCTTTATGCACAAGTGCTCGAGACTCTCATCAAAACTATTCAACCCTACAATACTCCAAGTTGCTCAATTTCCCCTCTTCACACTAAATATGGACTTTTAATCTGTATTAGTGAGCCAGGTCTCTTACAAGCAATGTTATCAACACCTTTTTTAGCTCGAAGTCATATGACATTTGTTCTCTCTAATCTTTCCGACTTTCAAACTTTTGTGCTTCAACGTCTTGTAACTCTTTATGATCCTACAAATCCAGCTTTTAGACCATTACTCGTTAGATATTGTTCACGACGTCGTACCACGTCACATAGTTCACAATCAAGTCAGTGCGATTCTCTAGATTCTTCAGATATGCTAGAAGAAAATGGCTGTCTCGTTGAAGAAATATTTGAAACATTTATAATGATTTTACTGACTTTAATTAACAAGAGATCGCCAGTGTTGAAACACAATCCTATGTTAGTTGAAAAATTACATCTTCCAGATATTGAAAGGAAGTTTACTGATGTACTACCAAATGTAGATTTTAAAAGAAGACTTTTAGCAGCTGGTTATGGTCATGTAGCTTTAATTAGAAATGGTAATGTCTATACCTGGGGTAATTCAGTACAAGGATGTCTTGGTACAGGTCCAACTATATTGAGATATGGACTTCCAACAGCTATTAATATTTTTAAAAATTTAGAAATGGAAGTTTTAAGTGTTTCCTGTGGTCGCTGTCATACTTTGGCTGTTACTAACAATGGAGTTTATGCTTGGGGTGGCAGTCAATATGGACAATTGGGACTTGGACGAGTTTTACAAAGTCCACACCCAGAATTAATTACTTCTCTAGCTCAGGAAATTATTGTTGATGCAGTAGCTGGTCAGTATCACTCAGTAGCCTTGTCAATAGATGGAAGAATTTTTACATGGGGTTGGGGTATTCATGGACAACTTGGACATGGAAATACTCAAAGAAAAAATGTTCCTACACTTGTAACAGCACTTTTAGGAGTTATTATACGTGGAATTGCTGCTGGACATGCCCATACATTAGCTTTATCAGTTGAAGGAGTTGTTTATTCATTTGGCTGCAATATTTTTGGACAATTAGGAACCGGAAATAATATTAAATCTTCAATTCCTCAAGCTATTTCTTTAATACCTGAACCCATCACTGATATAGCAACTGGATATTTTCATAATCTTGCTGTGAGCTCATCAAATAAATTGTACACTTGGGGATCCAGTCCTCAAGTCCTCCGGCTTCAAACTCTTACACAAAAAAAGAATAAATTGGCAGAATTCCAAGCTGCTGCCGAGAAACATGCTGAAAGCCTTGAAGAACTGGAATCTGAAGTAGAGAACGCTAAAGACATACTTGATTCAGATGATGTAGATTGTAATGATAAATTATCTTCAATAGAAAAGCTTGCAATTAAAACAGTAAATGAGAGAAAGCTGACTTGTCCCAATGTTCCAATAAGTGTTAGTCTTCGAGATATAAATTTAGGATTTTTAGAAGAAGCTCAAACTCATTTAAGACCAATTTGTATTGATACAAGTTTGGTACAAGGCAGAATCGTTCAAATATCAACTGGATGTCATCATTCTGCTCTTTTAACCAAGGACGGTACTGTTTATTGCTGGGGAAGAAATGTAGATGGTCAGATTGGTAATGGATCAAGAAAAGATATTACTATTCCAACTCCCTTAACTTATAATCCAGTTTCTTTGCTTGCTCAGATTCCTCCTAGAAGTGGACAATCAGCTGGAGGCGCAGAAAACTCGGAAAAAAAATTAATTATCAATTCAAGTGATGATAATTCTAATGGAAAACGAGATCAGATCAACAGAGTCATCAAGGCGGTTCGCGTTTGCTGTGGATGTGAGTTTACAGTTGCCATTCAACCCGGTGGAACCGTTTTAGCCTGGGGATCTTCAAGTATCGCTCAACTAGGTCGACCACCTACCAAAGAATCAGGAAATGTTACAGAGAAACTTGGTTTTATTAAATCATCTAAACGAGTAGTAAGACTTCCGCATGGAACACACGTGGTTCAGGACACACCTACTCAAGTTCCAAGTATCCCTACGCCAATCATCACATATCAAAGTTATGACGTTACTCCATTAGCACGCAAGATTCATCCTTTAAGCCTAATTGAAAAATCTGCAGGTGAATTAACTCTTCATTATGTATTGGAACAATATAATGGACTTTACGATGCCGGCAAAATAATGGAAAAATGTGATGAACTTGGAAATTATCAAGCAAGAGCAAAACTTGCTTTACTCGAACAAAACTTTTCAATTTCTTTGGCTTATCAACTGAAAACTCTCAATCCTGAGAACTACAAGACTGTTTTAATGTCTTCCGCGCGTGAAAGTAATGAGACGATAAAGAAATCGTGTGAGAAATTAAAAGAAAATACGGAATTATTTGATAAGCAAGTAGAAAAAAATTTAGTTGATACACTAGAAGAGAATGAATCGAAGAAAAAGATTAAAATGTCGATTAGTAAGTCCTTGGACAGTATTAATATTTTAGAACAAGAATTACATACATTTGATTGTCAAGGAGGCTCGGAAGAACTTTGTGAAGACACAAAGAGTTATGATATTTCTTTTGATCTCACTGAAGATACTTTAGATAATGATAATGATTTACCAGTTCTTTTATCGAACAAAGAGTCATTTAATAATGATTTAAATAATGAAGATAAAAATATTAACAATAACAATCGAACTATGCAAATGAATTGCCAAGAACATAACGAACAAGAAGAATCTTCAAATGAAATGAAAGCTATTATCGTTGATGCCTCTAAAATTATTAAATTTTACATCAATGAAATTGAGGAAAGTATGCAAAAAGTTTTACGACAAATTTTACAAACAATCTTCGATTTTTGGATTAAAAATCATTTTCCTATGGATGTCTTGGAGCAGTTATTAACAGAGAATATTAATAAACTTTACTATCCTCTAGGTTTGCTTATTTTTTGTCAAAACCAAGTAAATGATAAAACAGACCCAAATAAAAATGGTATAGAAAGTAAAAATTATACTATTATTGATCACTTGTCTACAAAATTTTGTCTTCAAGTCTGTAGTTTACTACTTGATCATATTGGTGAGAAAAAGCCTGCACTAGAGTATATAGAGCTATTTTCAATGCTTACTGCAAAAAATTATGGATCTTCTCTAATTAATTATGGATTCAAAGAAAACAAAAGTGCGGAACAAATGATGGAAGGAATTATTGGAGTAATATCGTCAAAAGCAAGTGATCCTCGTCCTTATATTCATATAAAAGATCCAGAAAAAGTTTCGAATTTTTTAGAAAATAATGAAGATACAGTTGTTTTTACCTGTGGTCATCATTTTCCACTTTCAGTTTATCAATCAGAAATTATACCTAATATGGAAGCTGAGCTACTTATGTCGCAACAAATGTCACTTCCATGTACTGCACAAACACTGGGAAACATGTTGAGTCAAGTGTGCAATAATAAAATAGAGATTATGTGCCCGCGATGCGTCCCACAAGCAATTCAGACAGTTGCTAAGAATCTCATGGATAGGTAGAAGTGTTTATATAAGTTTGGTTTAAAAATTAATAAGTAAAGAATTCCTTCTTTACTCTCGACGAAATTGAAATCAATTTTTTTGTGTTAAATTTTCAAAAGTGATTATAATTATAGCGTGACTTAGTCACTAAAGTATACATATATATATATAAATATATAAATATATATGTTCCAATGATAAATTAATATAAAATTTTATGTAAAATATCAAATGAAAAGAGTTTTGACTGAATATAGAATTTTTTGGTAGATGAAAGTCATTAATACTTAAATTTCAAATGATTACAAAATAGTGTGACTTATATTTAATTGCTAATTTTTTTCTCTTTTCAAAAGTAAATAATATTTAAAAATTTATGTAAAGTAACTTTCAAAGAAAAAAACGCACATTATAGTCACACAAATTTCTTAATAATATATCTCAAAATGATAGTGATTATATAAAAGATGAAGAAGATTATACATCATATAATAATTAGTTGTTTTAGACAAAAGAAAAATCGTCAAAAATAAAAATTTACCTGTGCGATATATGCAATTATTATAAATATTGAGTTAATGAAATTGTATTTTCAAAAAATTATTAACAAATAGTACATTTATTATTATGATTTTTTTTTTAATACTTCAATTGAATAATTTTTATTATGCAATCACGCTCAATAGGTATTACTAATATTTACTAGTCAATGACGTATCAACAATAACAAACTATGAAATATTTGCAATTTAATTGAATAAATTATACATTGTTTAATTAAGATTCAACATTAAAAAAAAATCTTAAATAATTATAAAAAAATAAAATAAAATGATTTTTTAAGTCGTCTATAATCCAATCAATTTATTTAACTCATGTTCTTTCTTATGAGATATGTAATGAAAAAATTAATTTATCAAAAGTTATCTGTTAATTTATGTACAAATGTATTAAACAATCTTAACTAGAAATAACTTAAAATTACGTATACTAATTTATTACTTATGAAATTATTAATAATATTATCATTAACTGCTAGTTATTAGTTTTTTATCAATGCAATAACTGTTAACATTGTCTTCAACATTTCTTCTTACTTCAGTTACTTGTATATTATAAATCACTCTAGAAAGCCTCAAGCATATTACTTGGCAGAGTAATGAGAGCCAATATTTGATGGCGGTCCTCTGTGATGATGATGATGATGATGCTTATGTCCGGGTCCAGAGTATCTGCTTCCAGGGCGTGACTGAACGATTGCATAATGGTCGCTATTTGTTGATATCGATCTTGTTGAGTTCATAGTCGATCCTCCAGATGGATAGCCTGGTTTACCGTTCAATGAGTATCTGAAAGAATCATAAACTATCATTCGGAGACGGTTGGTTTTCTTGTCTGATACTCAAGCAAGAAATTTCATTTGAATTTAACTCGTTCCATTGTCAATCAGGATCTGAATCTATGTGTGAATCAATTCGTAACAATGCATACAAAGTTTATGATACTACAGAATAAAAAATATAAAATACTATTTAATTATATTGATTGTAAAACGTCACACACAGCTTTTCCAACGCGTGCCTGTTATAATTCACCGGATCGGCAAACCGTTATGGTATGTATGTAAGAATATAGCAACCCTTTTGCTCTGTATCAAGCTACGATACACCTCGCCTTGCGTGTCCAGCTATGAATTATACATCTGCACCGTCACTTTATCCAATACTTGTTACCCACAAATAGTTAGAATCTGTCTCTTAGATTGCATCGCGTACAATTAATTAACTGTTTCACCATTTCCGCATTTATATCACTGAGCTAAAGTATCAGATTCAATTTTTCTTAACTCAATAATTTAAGAAAAAATATATTTATAGCTAACTATTTTACTTGAATAGAAAATTATTTTAGCCATTTTTTAAAGTAATTTATCTTTTTGAATTTTTTCCTATTTTACAGAATCAGTATAAAAAAAAAATGAACAATTAACTTGGTGGGTTAAAATTACACCTTCTGAAAATTTAAATCCGATTAGTCATGAAAATTACAGTCTTTCAAAAGCCTCAAACTTCAGACCTTTACAGCAAAAAAATGTATAATCAACTTTATTTGCATAAGAGTGTTAGAATGTAAATAAAAGAAGAAAATAACCGTACCTCGAGCCATACTGTGATCCTGGCCAGCTTCTATAGGGATCATAATCTTCAATAATCGATGGCTCTTTTTCAATTATTTCTGTCCGTGCACAACTACATGTCATTGCTGAACATAAGAATATGTTGATGATCAGCATGATGAGGAAGAGAATTCCAAATGCAACTGCTAACCACAACAGCCACTGAGGATGCACCGCGCCATCATCATACAACGTTTGAACAACTGGAAACAAAGGATTTTTTTTCGTTTAGAATATTATCATTATAATTCCACAATTTTATATTCAGTAGCTGAGTTATCTCATTTGACTGCAATGGAGATTGTGTTATTCAAATAGTACATTTGTTAAAGAGGAGGAAGTTTCAAACTTCCCCAGCGGCTACCACGCCCTTACCGGTTCGAAGATGTAGAAATGAATAAACTTGACAGGGTTATTGTTTTATCATTAATTAAATACTTTAAAAAAATTTTAAAAAGTTTTCTTAATATTTCCTATCAATTTTTTTCTATAAAAAGTAGCCGATGAACTATTTCAATTTTATTTTTAATGTTTTCACAATATTTCAGTTAAATAACTGGACTAATTTGAGGTCAGGTAGGACAGTAGAGTAGTTCATTAGTATTCAAACCACAGATAAAATACATGCATCTGATCTGATTTACGTGTAAGACTTTACGTAGTTAGTAGTCAATATAACAAACATAAAGAGTCGTCAGGAATGTTATCTTATTATGTGTTTGTAATGTTTGTTCTATACATATTAGACAACAAGGCAAACGTTGAAAAAAGATGCAATACACAATAGCTCGTTATCCATTTTCTCCAATAAAAAAATATTTACCTTCATGTCCAACATGTAAAGTTAGTTTGTAATATTTTTAAAAATAATATTAAGTTAAGAAATTACCAGGTGTTTCTCCAGGATTTAGAACAAAAACGCTATTTCCAGCTAGCAAAACTCCTTCTTCACCAGTCACGCTTTGTCCTCCCGAGCCGGAACCAGTTTTAAGACCCAAGTCTTCATCACCTTCACAAACTGGTACTCCACAACTTCCTGTTTGTAATAAAATTCTTCATCATTTATCCTTTTTTTTCCGATCATTTTATCATATTCGTTTATAAGATGGATTTTCTCTTTTCTATATTTAACTTGTTTCAATTATCAAAATATGATGAGTTATAACATAATAAAATTATAGCATCTTCATTTTAAATTAAAACGGAATAAAGTGATTTTACACGTTAAGAGCAGATAACAGAAAATAGCTAAGAAATAAAAATATTTTTCTTCAAATATGAGAACACAAAACCGTTGTTGGCAGAGGTTTCATTATTGACATCTTAAATAAATCGATGAGTCAGAGTTAGCAGGAATAGGTGCCAATAAATGTTTTTAATATGCCAACAACTGTACGCTATACTCTTCATGAATTTTATCATTATAATAATAATAAAAAATAGAATTATACATTCTTGTGATAGCTCAATGAAAAATAACAAAATTACGTAATAGAAAAACCAGGTTATTTTTTTTTATATCGTAAACATCATAATTAATGAATATATATATATATATATACCTCTACAAACTGCAATATCACATTGAAAATGTACTTGAGGACTCTCCGGAAAGCGAAACATTGAGAACAAAGTTGCATCAGCAGTTCCGGTGTTAAGATCATAAATAAATTTAGTAATAACTCTTGTTTTTACTGGGCATCCTCGATCATCGATCAGTTGAACACTGCTGTTTCGCTTGTTGAATGCAAAGCATGACTTCACCTTGATCCCGTACATTCCTGTGGTGATCACGTAAAGACGAATTGATTATACAATGGATAAATATCTAGTATTTTTATATATTTATTTATTTGTTTCTCGCTCTCTTATCTTTTTTCCTTTCTTTTTCTTTTCCTCTCTTTCACCTTTTTCTTTCTTACTAACATATCCGGATGCTATAGACGCATTCCCGTGGAACGAGCAAACGTTGTTAGGATTATGATGATAATAGTAAATAAAAATACGAACCATCGGGCCGCGATATTTCCGCCCGGAGTGTATAGTTGTGACCGTAGATTGCCTCCTGCACGCGACGACCACCGTCAAGAAGACGCAGCGACACTAAAGATGTTTCGTTTCTGCAAGAAAAATTTTTTCTATATATTTATTTGCTCCTTTTAACGGTTCCCTTTTTCTCAACTATTTATTACTTCCTAACGATCGATTTAAAAATTTTTATATATAGTGATTTTTATTTGTTACTAGTCAATTACTTGAGAAAAAAAAAAAATTTTTAATAGTTTTGAAATAGCTTGGAGGCACGGTTTTAAGAAATAAATATAAAAAAGTAAATAAATAATGATAATTATAAAAGTTGTAATTGACTCATAGTACTCACTTGGCATTTTTAAATCCTGCCTTGCCGCATGTGATCACATAAAACTTATCATCTGCAAGTTCTAGGGTCTTATGTATTCTAACAGCGATAGGAAGTGATCTTTCCTCTGTACTCTGGAATTACCATAAAATTGATTTATATGAAAATAAGTTGAGTAAAAGATAATAATATAAGAGGATATGAGATGGATATAGAATGAATGAAAGGCATAATATAAAAACTGACATTATTAACAAGGACACCACAGTAGTCTGGAGCACCATGTGGAGCTAAAAGATTAATTCCAAGAGTGGCCTGCTTGGATCCATTCCCAGCCACCATACATTGTGGTGTTCTGTAATCTCTTGCATGCATAGCTCCAACGAAGCTGTCATTTAGGTTCAATCTGATTGTCATATAGCCTGCTTTACATGTTGCTGTCACTGTTGGTTGAAACTCCGTATCCAGTAGTTGCCCACTGACCTGGAACCATAATAAATTAATCAGACAATGAAGTTTTTATGAAAAAGATTTGATTAATTCACTACCGCATGTGATGTTACATTGTTTCCAGATTATTTTCCTGCTTTTGGAAATTTTATTTAACAACTTTAAGAGAGGTAGCTTAAGTATTCAATGATTTCATGAAGGAAATAAGCGATAATGAACCGAAGAAAATTGTTCAGTCATTTGTAAAATAAATCTTGAATAATTTTACATGCTTGAAGCAAGATATTAAACTATTTCCGCAATAAAAAAATTTATCGTGAAAAAGGAACCATTTCCGGAAAGAATTATTGAACTAATATGGATATCAGTATCACATCTGATAGAAAAGTATCAGTTAATTATTACGTTCCAACATGAAATAGAAAAATAGTAGTTGGTTCATTACTTTTATATTTTTAATTTAATAAATTAATGTTAATTTTTTAATGACTAAAAAATAAATTACAATTATTTAAATAATTGCTTCAGTGTAACGTAAATTCTTTGGATCTTAACTGGGATATTCATGCTGCCAAACAATATTCATTTAGCCGATAAATTGTTCGTAAAAGAATCTGTCAAAATATACGATCAACGAGATATATACTCCAACACATTTTAAGCTGTAGTTCATTTTTTTCCAATAGTTTGTTCATACTTTATAGCCACTTAAAATTAGCCTTACAATTCCACTGTAGATGGTGAAGCTACACGTACATTTTTCGTCTAGACTATTAAACATCAAAATTTCTTTCCATCTTTATTTTTTTTTCAAAGACTAATATTATTGAGTATCATAAAATATGATTTACGAATTTTTTAAACGTATGTTGAAATAAAAAAAATTCGCAAATTTTATTTCAATGATAAAAAAAGCTAAGCATTCTATTTAAATTTCTCCTGTACAAGTGAAATATGTTTCTCATCATTATACCTAATGAACTCCTGATTTTAGAATATGACTTTAGACATTAGTAACTACCAACTTTACATACATAAAAAGTATCATTCAATGCTGAAACTTAACTTGACCACCTATCTTTTCTAAATAGAGTACCATAACTTAACAACTATTCCACTTATCATTACAAACTACGATATAACATCTTGACAAATTTTGCAGAACAACATCCATTCATAGAAATATCACAATTTTTGTGCCAGAAAGAACTCTCTACTGAGACACCATTCTCTTTAATCGATTATTTTCGCGAAATTCAATTGACAAGTCGAAAGTTTAATTTGCTATTTAAATTAGTTGGACCAGTTTTGGATTCACTGTGCTGTATCATAAAATAAAAAATTCAATAAATATTATATTCAAGAATTTAAAAAGATTCGTTAATTAAAACCAACACATTGACCTTTATTCTAATATTTGTAATTTATAATATTTTTATTAATTTATTTAAGCAATTTGTTATTTTTACTTTTCACCACATGAGAAATAAGAAAAAAATAGTCTATTTAAAAATGAATACATAATTCTGATAAATGTAAGATAATAACTGGTTCGGATAAGTTGGAATTCATCCATTTAGTAGTTAACATCATTTAGGAGATTTGTTAATCATCTAGACTGGTTTCTTTAGCGAGAACTGCTGACCGTTACCATCTTTTTATACTTAACTAGGCTTGGACTGGTTCGCAACTCGTCGCTCATGGCATGCCGACCAACCTACGTCCGTTAACCCACGCCAACTTTCAATTTCAGTCGACTCGATAGTCAAACAACCCACTTCTTATCCTCCGTATAATGTCTTTGATATTGTGATTTACCCTTCAATGATATGTACAAAGGCGTGGTTATGATGGTAACTTATGCCGTTTAATTTCTTCAGTAGTTTTCAATAACGGATTGAAATTTTTACCAAGATAATCATCTGCGTGGATAAAAGATGTGGGCAAACGAAGGATACGTTCCGGTTCCCGCGCATGAAAATAGCGGACTCGAGAGAAAAATTTTTCCAACGAGATGTAGAAAATCGTTAAAATTAAAATTCTTTTCATGAATTTTCTTGAGTAATTGTATTGTGCTTTCTTTTTGTGCTAAATTTTTTATCGTTTATTATAGTTTTCAAGCATTATATTATGTCTACATTGCGGTTTCATTGAATAGATTGATGGTAACTGAATAGCTGTAATAACATTCAATAACAGCTTTTTATTTATTCTTTCGGTTGCAAGTTCATTTATGGATAAATCTGTCTAATAATCTTGACAAAAATATTTCACAGTTATATGAACTAGTTTAATAGCAATCTGTTTAAAATATCTCTTATACTGTTACGAACCACTAAGTAGTTATCAATAAATTTTTTCTCAATCAACAAACTGGTAAGTTGCCAATGATAACATATCTATTTTTGCAAGCATGTTTTCAGAGCTGTTCATGTTCACTCGAATGAAATGTCAATATTATTTAAATAAAAAAATTTCTTTATTTTTTATAATTAAATGCATTTTCAACTTTCTCTTGCAATGATGCAAACTTCCGTCTATTTGTGAGATTAATCCTAGCATGTTTGAACTATTCATCGTCGTCGTCGTCATCCTTGTGAGTTCATTCATCGAAAAATATTTATGCCGGTATATAAAAAAGCGAGAGCGTGAGTGTGTAAAAATATACAGAAAGTGGAACGAGCTCATTGCAATTTCTATCTCTTTTTATTCATTTATTATAAATCTTGTTGGTTCAATTTTATTTAATTATTTTTTTGTTGACACCAACACGTCAAGTTTGATAGTGAGCACACGTGCTCATGTGTTATCGACGAGGTGAAAGTGAATTACATTAAATTACTACGATCATGAGAGCAGCATACGAAGCGCAAAGATTCTTGTCTCAATGCAAACCCATCAGCCTAAAAACTGACATTTTGTACCTGAGGATATATTTGAGAAGGTGAAAATTATCTGAATAAAAAATTTTTTATATCACCTAAATACACGTTTCTTTCACATAAATGCTACCTTAACTAAAGCTTAATTCTGTTTTTGTTTTCATACTTTTAAGTGTAAGTAGAGATATTTTTAACTCAAAGGGAACATTTTTTATTGATGTTGAATAACTACACTAAAAAGAGTATCTAGAGGCTTAATTGCAAAATAAATAGTAATATATCAGTGAAGAGAATGACTTAAACATGATTAATGTTTTGGTTTTAAATAAATGATCTATAAAGAGGTTTAAATAAAAGATGAATATTTTTTGAATTTTAGTAACTTTCTAAGAAAATTAAAAGTTTTTGTTTAATTCAATGAAAGTAATTAATTCAAACTTTCTTTTTTTGTAGTATAAAAAAAAATTAATTACACTCTAAAAAGAACTCTCAAAAACATATACATATATATAAAACTCTGATTATATGAAAGTGTATTGAATTATTTATCGGTAATTAATACATTAATATTCGCATATATTTACAATTAAAAATATTATCTTAAATTCCTATCTATTTGTAATGATTATTCTTACTGTGGTGGGTCAGTATTGAATTTAAATTGTTAATTATTAGTTACACTGAATTAATTATTGGTGCATCTGGTCAAAATAGAATTTTTAGAATTAGAAATTCACCCGTATGATGATATGGAATTAAGAAAAGCCGATAGAAAAGCACTAATTGACAAAATTACTAACAATTTGGCAGAAAAGAAAATACAAAAATTTCTCTTTATCCACATTCTTGAGTAAATAGTGAGTTTGACTTGTTAAATGGTTTGCTTTAAGAAAGGCATTAATAGCAATCAATTCTCAAACATACTCGAAATTTATTAAGATGATTTTAGGAAGGTATTCTCAGTAAAGAGCTGTGCGTTCTGAAGAGTCATTGCACCTTAACCAAAGTGCAGACGCTTGTGTCTTGAGGAGAGCGAAAGTCTCATTGTACGAGTGAGAGAGTAAAACTGGTTTTGGAGATAGAGACCCTGTGTATCCATAAAAGGAAGAACCCACTTGAATGTTGCAAATCATTAGACTCCAAATGGCTGAAGCAGTCGAATTCTCTTGTATTATCCTTAGAAGATATCTTGGCAGGTGATTTGTTTGATTTGAGGTGCCGTAAAGAGCCAAAGTAAAAGGAGAACGTAAAAATAGAAGGAAAAGAGGAAGATGGTATCGAGATACAAGAGAGGTCTTGAAGAGATTGAAGTTGGGTGGGGAGACGTTGCGTTTACGACTTAGGCTTTCTCGTAGTCATATAGTACTCGTGCAATATTGCATTCTATTCACTCTTCTTTGTTCTTTCTCTTCTACAAGCTCACCAAACTAAACGAGTTATAAATTTGCCTTAGCTTCGCCAACAACTTCGATTTGTCGACTGCAATGGATATGCGACGACTCTCCTACGCTCGAGTAATTGTCCTTACTTCTTGATCATATCTTACTTCGTCTGATAAATAAATAAGTACGTCAATAAATCTGGATTTTAATCGCTCGTAAAAAGTAGCTTCTCCAAAGTAAGATAAAAAATATTTATCCGACTATGATTTATCAATATTTCTTACTTTTAGATGCAATTAATCGTTTAAATATATTATATCGGAAAAAGAGTCTTTTTCTCACCATAAAAAGATAATTTCCACGATTGTTTATATTTATAGAGTAATAAATGTTTCTGTTAGTTGCCTCTTAAATTTTGATTCATCATTATAAATTGCTATTTTATAATATTCTCTTTAACCTCTGATAAATAAATTCGGGCATTAACCTCGAGCTCTTTCTGTGTTTTAAAAGCTATAACGTTATGCAATGGGTTAACAGCAATGATGATGACGATGATGATTATTATTATGGTGGTAATGATAGCATGAAAAATACAAGCATAATAAGGAGTCACCACATCGTCACGAATCTCTCGCGTTCTAAATCCTTGCTGAATTTTTTTACATGCAAAGCTGTCGCATCTCAAGGAGAACGGCATAGCCGACCTCTGAATCCCTTAGAAGCCGGTTGGACAAATATAATGCTTTGTCTCCAAAAAAGAACGATGATAAATAATAAAAGGTAAATATTTCAAAATAATCAAGAATAAAAATTATGAATGAAAAAAATGAAATCGTGGGCAGACGTGTAGGTTGAGTTATCCAATCATTTAAATAGTCAAGGATTGGTCTGGTGATTTCTTTGGAATCGTGAGCCTTGACTATATATTCATAAAGGCTAAGATTTGTATTGGAGCTAAGTACCACGTGCGCACGAGTCTACTAGACCTTCGTGAGTTATCTTTCTTACAATCCTTGACGTTTTTCAACTTCTGTAGAAGTCCATATATGTATCCATATGAAATATGTACAGAATAAAGATTTTTCAAAACATAAACTTATTTTCAAAATTCTTCAACTGAAATTTATTTAATTATAAAAGCATATAGTCTACAACTATGTTGATTTTGAATAATTATTAGTGATTAAGAAATGTTTGTTGATGGTAAAAGAAACTTCAGCATCTTCAATTATTCATTACATGACTAATATGAGGCAGATAATAATAAACGATTACAAATGACTATTCAATTATTTATAAATATTATATATTATTATTATATACACATATTTTTCATTTTCGTAAATACTTTTCTTTTCATTTTTTAAGTATTGATAAGTTAATAAAAAGTATAAATTATTAACGAAGAAAGATACTCCTTAGTTAAAAAACTCTAAGAATGTCTGACGTCAGTTCGAAAATGAGTAATCCTGAATATATATTACACTTTTTGTTATTCTATAATTAAAATCAAGATAATTCCCCGCAATACATTACCTGAGCAAGTCCTAAGACAACAAACAGCAACCACATGTTGAGTAAAATGCAACTAAATTGTCTTACTTGTAACACTGACATCCTTAATCTCATCATTCTTATTAAAATATATATATTTTTTTTTATAATCTTTTTTGTCCTTGCAGCACTTTAAACTATGTATTATCTAATACTTTCTGACCTTCAACAATCCAGTTAGATAATATTCAACACCAAAAACTTGACTTTCACGTCACATTTCCATCGTTATTCCTCGGAATCGTCATATCGTATTAAATTCTTTCACATGAAACTCAAATCAATGTTTCCTCGTAAAGTAAAAATGAATTTACTGTCGGGAAATTTTAAATAAAATTTCAGGAATGAAATGAGTTTTGGAATTACTATGTTGGATTATCCGTTACTACTGCACAGGTGAGAGAGTGGAATCGCTCTGGATGAGTCGAAGGCACTCGAAGGTTTCCACTGGTTTCCACTTGGCTCCACTTCGTTTGTTCGGCCTCGTACTTCATCCAGTAGAGGGGATATACTACCAGTTGGGACCACTACGTAAGGCCCATTCTGGTGGCAAGAATTCCAACATTATTTCCACTGAAGAATTTGAGACTCTACCAGTTGGTGATTTCAACGAGATACCTGTCGCCATCTTCATGATGTCAAGTCATTCAGGATTTCAATAAAGAGTTGATCCTGGATAAAGAAGAATTTTTCCACGTTGAGTTTAAAATCCTAAAACAAAAAGTTATTATTCATTAATATATTATATTGTAATTCATAATATCTGGATAAAAAGAGTCTACTTACCTATGAATTTCATAACTAAGATTTAAAATCTAAATCAAGGTCTTTGGATTATCTTAGTTGATTGTGGTTTCTTTAATGAAAATAATATTATCTTATAGATAATAATTATTTAGTTTCAGTAATATTTAATATCATTTAATTAAATAATAATGATATAATTTTATGTAGAGAAATTCTTGACAAATGACTACTAATGATTAATTTATTTCAAAATGATAGACAAATAATAATTTTAATTATTACTGTGCTATATATGGAGAAAATTTGTTTAAGCATTATTTGAAGTACGAAAATGAGTGTTTATTGGTCCATCAACTGTTTGATTAATTTTTATTATAAAAAAAAAAAAAATTTAATAAAAAGATATTACTCAAGTCAATTAAATAATTTTATGTAAAAGAAAATCTATAGATGTGTCTATAGTTGATTTATTACCCAACTATTTAGATAGCACAATAAAAAAAGAATTGTCATCAATAGGTGAAAATTATCATAAACCTATTTAGACTAATTAAATAGAATTTGTTAATCAACAGGAATGATAAATTTCTATTTTTTTAATTTTTTTTAACTAGAATAAATAAAACTATTTATATGTTCTTATTTAATTACATAATATTATTTTTTTCTGTTGAAGGGTTTATCTAGCAAATAATTGAGCAAAAGAGAAGTAGAAAATCTGTGCTAATATAATTTGCCTAGGAGTAAGTTATTTGTTCAAGAGAGAATTAGTACAGAAAAGAAGAGATCACTTCCGTGTGAGTAGAAATGCAAATTGTACCTGAGTAGTTTAAAATGGAAGTAGACTATTGATTTAGACTTATCTGTGAAGATCAACATTTTCTTGAACACTTAAAGATTTAATAGTGATGAATGATGACGTAATAAAATTATTGTTTGTGAATTTCGTCATCGTGAGAACACAAAAGTATTACCATATCATCTTAATATGATTGTAAGTATACACACAAGAAGATTTTTAAATATTATACAAGAATTATTGTGGTATACCTGGATGAACCTACGTAAAATTATGTAATACGTCAAAGAGACTATATCATTTCTTTTAAATAGAAATAGACAGTCGGCTCCCAGAATATGTATTTCAAATTAGTGTAGATATGTGTTAATTAGAGGTATCAGAATAATCTGGTCTGGTGAAAGTCACTTGTCCAGTCTAAAAGGTGGAAATAATAAAAATATATAAGGATATTTCGGTTTAAAATAATAAAACATACAGATACTCAATATACATATATGATGCTTTAGAAAAAAGAAATATTTCGAGTTACTATGATATAATATTATTTTATTATCATGAAATTATTATACTTTATTTTTAGCCCAAAATTGGTTACTATCATTGGGATGAAGTTTAAAAAGCACAATTTGAGTACATTATTTGAATAACAGTGATTAATTTTTTTTTTTTCAATTTCAATTTTTTATCAATTATCTGGTAAAGTATCCTGTTAACGAGTATAAACGTTGACAATTTGAATATTTTAAAAATTTGATCATTTAAGCCATTATACCTTTCTCCTTAGCTGTAATAAATTGATGAAGATAATTCCTATTGAGCCTAGAGGGCTTTGAACACTATTCTGAAAAAATTATGATGCAATACGCTTTCAAACGCCACTTGCTTATGACACTTATGAGTATTTATCGAGAGACAACAAGATTATTTTTATCCTTTGATAATAATAAATTATTTTTAAAAATTTAATTTCCGGTTTTGGATCCTTTAAATGAGTGCCAAAAATTTTTCTTCGTCGATACCACAATACAATTTTAGAAAGCAGGACAGTGAAAATTATTACAAAAGAAATGGAATACGATGAGCATATAAGGCCCCAAGAGAGTAATATTGCTTAAGGCTTAAAGCATATATGATTGGTAGAATAATTACACTGCATAGAAAATTTTTTACATGTCCAATTCTTCATTTACTTTTTTATTAGTTTAATACAATGTAGCTTCATTAAAATATCAACGATCAGTGAAATTGAATATTATGCCTGCAACTACTCATTCAGAAATAATTTCAAATGAATTAGCAATCGAATGAGTACTCATTGACAAGCAAAAGAATAATTTTACAAATATTATCTATATTTAATTGAAACGTTACGGTTTGGGAATTTTTCTTTTAATATTATGAGAGAAAAAAAACTTATTTAAAATATTGTAACTTAACTCATGAAAAAGTCATAAGTCTATCATATAATTTTATAGCATTAAAATGCGAAAAATTAGTTGTAAATCACAAAAACTAAAATATTCTGTCTTTTTATGTTTCTTTTGAGGTTGAAAAATTATAATTGAAGGCTATACTCTTAGTGGAATAAAGATGTGGAAAGGCGGTAAACACATAAACATTATTCGCATTAAGATTTGCAGATTATCATAATTACTTTTTTACAAGTCAATCCATAAACGTCTATTCTCTATTATACAATTCGCACTTACTCGAGATTAATCTCATTTGCAAAATTAAATTACCCATATCAATTATTGTTATGATGATAAAAATATAAGAAAAAAATCAGAACAAATGGTAATTGAGTTTTGCAATTCATGTCTCATTATCAGATCGTTTTAATCTGAGAACAGATAGAAAATAATATATACTTGCAGATGTTGGTAGTGTTAAATATTAAGCCGAATCTCCTGGTGTATTTAAAATGCCGCCAATGTCGACGAAGAAGACCGTCAAAGTGGTGGCGATGGTCCTCTTTCTACAGCCAGACTAGAAGTAAGGGGATACAATACCTATATAAAGCTCGAATGAAGATGCTCTCAGCTATTCACTCTCACCTTTCTCACAATAAGCAAGTCAGTCATTGCTCTCGTTACGCGATTTACAAGGATTTCTGAATATCCTGGATCTTATTTACCACAACTCATCCTTATTTAACATTAGTTAAATTATTCACGTAAGTTGGTTTCAATTTCTTTTTAATTGCATCAATCAATCTTCATTTTTCATGCTTGAAAACATCATTTTTTACTACTTACATTTTTTGCACCATTTAGAAATCATATCAATTTCAATATAATTCATTTTTCTGTTTCCTTGTTGTATATTTTATTTTTGTAATTAAACTGAAAGTTATTTTCGAATAATTTTACTACCTTTTTAAAGGATCTTCTTTTTAATCTTCTCTCATATATATATATATTATCCATTAATTCATTGCAGTAAAAATAACATAAAATAAAAATAAATATTCTATTTGACGTGTCAATATTTTTATGTACTTTTAAATTACTATTAATTTTCAAAAGTGTTTTTCCAATTTTGTCATTACTATTCATTGATATTAAGTATTATTACATTTTCTTACTAAATTTAGTTTTTATCAAACTTGTATATTACAAAACCTTGTTAAAATGAGTATAAATAGCAAATAAGTAATAATACATAAGTAATGACAATGCCGTGTGTATGAAATCAATTTTTTATGAACAAATATTGCAAGATGTTGTAATGATTCACAGACGTAATTCTCACGATTACATGGGCACATGTATTTTGTTAGACTGACGAAAATCACTTCTGACACGTTCGAGAGAAGTCCAAGTAGAAAACCTCGTTGAGAAAAGGTTAATTGTAAACACTATTCAATTATTCTCGATCTGCATTCGTGAACACTTGATTTTTATTTACGAATGGTCCGAGTAAAAAATCAATTGCTATGACAATTAGTTGAGTATTTGCTAACTCGGTTGCTAAATTCAAAAGGTCAAGCTATCTTGATGATGATGAGGATCATCAATGTTTTTAATATGGTGTATATCTCATATGTGGAATGTTTCATCGCTATATATAATCAGATGTAGCATCTTCGCAAGAACTCACAAGACTTTCGTTTCTTATTACATTTGTTGCATATAAGAAATCTCACTCAATTGAATTGACATCGATCGCTGGTCAAAACGGTCAATAGGACACCTGTTGAAGGAAAGTCTTAAAGAAATTATTTATCAAGGCTTCATTCCTCAAGCTGATTTTCTATGTTAATCTTCGATGTCTGACCAAACGTCGATCTTCTTCACTTTCTTGAGTATAAAAAATGGTCTTCTTTAAAGAGATTTCATTTGAAGCTGAAGAAAATATCATGTCGTTGTAGCAACTACCAAATACAGATACTCAATAATAATAATTATTTATCTGAAATATATAAGTATATTTGTTTGTTTAAAGAATAGATATAATCATGAAAGTTCTTTTGTTGAAGCCATATGAAGTAGAAATTTTTTCTCAATGTTGTCGATCTCATCTATTACCAGCTCATTAAATAATTTAGTTGAATAGAAGATGAATGAATTTATTAAATAAAATTTCTATTTTTTTTACTCCTCATTCGCAAAGGTATGATGAAATTTCCTGTAAAGTTCGAGAGCATGAATAATTAACTGACAACAACGAGCTGTCGTTAGTCCGGAAGTAGTTACAGAATAGTTTCAGTAATTTAGTAAAATTAAAAAAAGAGAGAAAAAAAATAAGACGACCTTATCTGTCCTTTCTCTATTTCATGCTAAACTTCTGAAACTTTACTCTACTCTGAATGATTGTGGTTTGTTCGGCGTGACAACGCCTGTAGTTATCAGTAGTAAATCGTGTTTTCATCTTCATCATCTTCAATGCCAATCTGCGGATACCCAATGGTGGTAAGAACTCTTATCTTTTCCCCTCCGAAGATTCACAAACAAATTGTGCCACGGCCATTTATTACACAGTTTTAACTGCATCATCTTCATAGAGATAACTTTCAAGCATTTAACTTTAAGCATTTTTCAAGTTTATCGTCATGATTACAGTATTATGTAGCACTGTGACGTATCTTACATTTCACAAAGATGTTTTTTTGTAATAGAAATGTCTGAGAAACACTTGACATGTCTTGTAGAAATTTTTTGAAGATTCAGCATTCAGATACTGAACAGAAAAGAAGAATTAAATAAATGCTCCATAAAATCATAATACTTTCTTACAATTTTTCCATTGGAATAAATTAACATTAATTAGTGTTAAATAAATTATGCAACTGGTTCAAGAATATATAACACCCATCTGTAACAGAGAAAAAAAGAAGAAAAGATGATTGCTATCCATTAAACAATTTATTTGATCTCAATAAGATTTATTTAACCACAATTGAATTGTAATTCATTCATTGTAAATTTAGCTATTTAAAGTTTTATATTTGAAATAAAATAAAATTAACACACAGAAACAAAGTAATCTACTTGCATCCTGACCGCGTTGACGTTATGAAAGACATTAAAAACAAATGAGCGAAACGTGGAAATGATTACAGGGACTGCTTTCGAGTTTGTCGAGCATCATCTTCTTGGTACAGTCACGGTATACACACTTGAATCCCTCCATGGCTTACCACATCAAATATTACCAAGCAGCCATGAGATAGACGACATACCACAAAGCATCAACCCGTTCCCGTAGTGTCGGTAGCAAGTATCACGAATTCGCACGATAATTACGTTGCTGTAGCGTACGCCCACGGTACAATGATACGATTATTAACTCAAGATGATAACCCTTTTCTCAGTTGCGCAAATTGACTTCATCAGAGCTTCTCGAGTGTTAATTGGCAAATAGACTATACACAGTTAAATTACCTACTAGACTTTCAGATTTATATTACCAGTATTTAGAGAAAACTATTTCCAATTTAAATTTTCCAGCCAATATAAAACAATACTTGAATTGAATTATTGGCTCGAAAGACCTACTTTCAAATGACTTAGTTAGCAATAAAAACATTTTACAATGATACCTTCAGGAGCTACAAACAGTGGAAGACATAAACTAGCTTCCTACATGGACATATTGTATGTACATGTATATATAGTGAAACACGTGTGACTGCAAAAAATTTCATGACTCTGTAAATATTTCACTGGATGGAAACAACTTAAAATGTAAAATTAATCTTTTTCTTAGACTTGTCCGCTTTATAGTCAGGATATGCATCACGCTAGTTGGATTTTCACGACCACAGACATTAGAAGATCGTGCTGAGATGAGTCTACTCGATGCGACTTTCACCTTTCACCTCGTACGACGCTCGCACGATTCCTTGCTTGACTCTTCGAACCCATAGCGTTTCTTCTTCCTCCTTTACTAACTTCGACACAACAGCGACTCGTGGGAGTTTGCGGATGCTCGTAAATCCACATGAAGTACAGATCTTCAGCAGCAAAGCGATTGAATAATAGTTAACTCAAGAGAAAAGCTGTTTTAACCGGGATAAACAGTACATCAAGGTCATGAAACGAAAGTTATACCCTTTGACAGTGAAAGTTATCGGCGACATCATCTTTATTTTCTTTTGCACTTTTATTTTTGTTTTTCTTCATACTGATGTATTCCACGTCGTCACCAGATGGCAATTGCAAATCTCTAATAAATGTTAACTCCGTCTACCACTTTAAAGTTTTATTAGTATGTTATAATAGACTTTTTTCTCTTCCTATACTACCTTTGAAATTTGCTGTTCAAGGCTTCACATTTCATAATATCTGATATTCGCTTTCTACTTTCTCACAAATGATCTCTGCGATGATCGATAGTCGCTACAAAAATATTGTGTAATCTCCGTGACAACGCACTACGATTATAATGTCTTACCTTTTCTTTACTTCCCAGGAACGTCATGAGGTACCTAGCAGCGCTACTGTCTGCTCTGCTAGTTTTGGTGTCTGCAGAGGAGAATCATTACAATGGTAAATTCACATCATTCTCTGGTAAGATCCACTTGTAATTATTATTAATGTAATTCATACTGTCTCACATGTATTATTGGCTTGATGCAAACAAAAATGAAACTTTGATGATGATCATGAGATAAGATTAATTAAATACTTAGTATATATTTTTATTTATATTAATATATAATTAATAATAAAAACATGTTAAATGTTATAAAAGAAATGAAGAAAAAACATAATGATGAATTAATTATCATTTCTTGAATTTAAGATTAATTTGTTTTCATAAACTCGATGTTTTATGTGCATTGTGTGGTTTTAAATGAATTATTTTTGTTTAGAACTCACGCGGCATACAAGAGACACAGAAAGTTCAGCAGATGTAATGGCAAGGAATCTTCTAGAATGGATTCAAGGCATTTATCGACAAGGAGTACGTAGAAGTAGGTTGACATCCTTCCAAAAGATGAGAATAATGAGTTTAAATCTTGTCAATTGATCTTAAAACATTAAATGACACATGAAAGTCTACTAGAATATTTGACTAATTCGTTAATGTTTAATCTTGAGCGAAAGTAATTGTATGTTTCGTTAATCATCACATTCCCTGTTGAATAGCGAGACAAGAGAGTAATGGATATTTACCACCGTTCGGAGGTCGAGGGCCATTGGAAAGACCAAGACCTTTTCAACCAGCTTCAACACCAGCCCAATCTCCATCTCCAAGTCTTAATGAAGTAACCAACTATCAACCATCTAGTCCTACTTATGGTACTACTCCAAGGCCAACTTACATTCCTCAAAGTCCCACACCCAATTTCGGTAGTACGACGACTCCGAGACCTTTTACTGGAACTTTTAGTTCATCTAATTTTCCTGGATCATCCACAACATATGTTCCACCTTCAGCAACTTATGGATATCCATCTGGCCAGTCTAGACCATCTTCAGGACAGCCAACTTACGGAGGTTATCCAACACCACCATCACCGACACCCGGCTTTCCAACACCATCTCCCACTTTTCAAACACCTACTGGTGGATATCCATCATCTGGAGGATATCCATCTTCTGGAGGATATCCATCTTCTGGAGGATATCCGTCATCACCCACAAATTCCTATGGATATCCTTCCCAAACTCCAACTCCCGGCTTTCCCACTCCAACAGGTCGTCCTTCAACTCCTGGAGGATCTGCTTCCGGTGGAGGTCCAACAACTGGTGGAACTTTAGGAGGACGTCCAACAGCTGGTGGCACTCCAGGAGGACGTCCAACAGCTGGTGGCACTCCAGGAGGACGTCCAACAACTGGTGGTACACCAGGAGGACGTCCAACAACTGGTGGTACACCAGGAGGAGGTCCAACAACTGGCGGTCCTACTGGACCAACAGGACCATCAGGTAGATTAATTAAAATTTTAAAAATTATAAATTTTTCTATTTCACAATAAATGTACATCCTCAGGACCTACTGGAGGTGGTAATACGGGAACAACTGCACCTGGTAGTGGTCCAGGAGGTGATACTACAGCTGATGATGACCTTAAACATCCTCCTCATATTCATGAACTGCAAGTCCAATGTAGTAAAACAATGATGACTATTGATATCGAATTTAATCGACCATTCGATGGTGTTATTTACTCTAAGGTAATTTTTTTTTTTTAGTATTTAACTATATAGCCAGAAAAAATTCATGCGAATCATTTTTACAGGGCTTCTATATGATGCCAGAATGTAGATACGTTAATGAAAACTCTGGTCAAACTAAATATTCATTCACAGTGAGTTTAGACTCTTGTGGAACTGAATTTATCAATGATTTTGAAGGAGAAGCAGGTCAGGCTTACTTAGAAAATGTTTTAGTACTTCAAAACGAGCCTGGAATTCAGGAAGTATGGGATACAGTCAGAAGAGTTAGGTGCCTTTGGGAAGGAAATATTAAAAAACCTCTAACAGTGAGCCTGTCAGTAGATATGTTGAATCAAGAAATTGTAACATTCAGTGGTGACACTGCCACAGCCAAACTTGATATTCAAGTAGGAAAAGGTCCATTTGCTCCAGCTGCTACAGGTCTTGTTAAAATTGGAGAGCCAATGACTCTTGTTGTGTCTGTTGAAGGTGACCCTGGGTTCGATCTTCAAGTAAGAATTATGAAATATAAATAATATTATAATATTATAATAATCTTTCTATAAAAACATCTCATAACTTGAAAAAATTATTCTTTAGGTTCGAGATTGTATTGCTCGAGATGAATCATCTACGAATGTCGTTCAACTTACTGATGAACGTGGATGTATCTTGAAGCCTAAGCTCTTCGGTGCTTTCCAGAAAACAAATGACACTGGAAACACTGGTGCTTCAATAATAGCTTACGCTTTCTTCCAGGCTTTCAAATTTCCTGATGTGATGGATCTTTTCATTGAATGCAATGTAGAGCTCTGTAAGACGAATTGTGAAGCTTGTCCTGATGAAAATCAGGTAAAAATATTTGCCATCTGATCATCGACAATTTGAATAAAAATTTAAATACATTTTACACTAATTAAAAAATATTTTACAGCAAATTGAACCTGGTAGGAGAAGAAGAAGAGAAATATCGTGGATACCAAGTAACACATCTTATTATGGTGCTCTATCAGAACCAGTACGTATGAAACGTGGTTTCAGAGTAATAATGCCAGATGATTTGAGTTTAGCATCCACTCAGTCGCTAGAAAACTTAGAGAATAATGCAATTCAAGAAATAAGTATTGTTAAAAATATTTGTATGAGTTATGAAGGATTTTACACATCTTTCACACTAATGTTAGGTATTATTGTTGCCTCTACAATGAGTGCTGGTACATTTTATATGAAAATCCAAAGAATTAAAAGAGACAAATCTTATGATTTACCTAAAGGAACTTAATACATAAAACAATTTTATAATAATTTTTGATAGAACAAAGAATTTATTTACACTTGATATTAATTAAAATTGTACGATTTTTATACTGTGCCTGAGTAACGAGTTATAGATATCTTGATAGATAATTTTTTCTATTTCATACAGTATTTTATTCTAGTTTGATGTACAAAATAACAAATGATATTACATTACATATTAATTTTATTTCCATTAATTATTACTGTATTGAAAGATATGATGATATTTCTTATAGGGGTCATCATGATTATTTTAATATTGATAACACCCGTAAATAATTGGATAAAATTTGACATGCACCTTCAAACTTCTACTATCAAAAATTGAATATTATTATATATTAATTAATTTTAATTGGTAACTAATTAGGAAAAACAAAAATCATGAATCATCTTAATATTTATCAATCATCATAAATAATTCTTACATAATTATGCATTTTTTTTTAGTAATTAACAGACCTTATCGTTATTAAATCAACATTTTTATGTACAATAAATGTAAGATCAAAATGAACTCTAGTAATCTTCAATTTTTTAACACTAAAAATGATTTATTGATTTATAAATCAAGTACTTTATTTTTTAACAAATTTAATAACATATAAATGTTCACCACGAACCTTCCGTTCACCTATTACTTTCCCTGTCATATTTAAATGCTCCAAAATTTTTATTATGTTTTCAATATTATTCTCTTTAATAGCTACTAAATAAAAAATACCATTTTTAGACAACAATTCAGGAATTAGTGGAATAACTCTGTCCATCACTTCTCGACCATTTTTTCCACCAGCCCACGACTTAGTAATTAAATTTTTATCTTCGATTTCAATTGTTTCTGTGATGACGTAAGGTGGATTGAATATTATTAAGTCAAAGATATGTCGTGATTGAAAAGCAGATGTTAAATCCATTTGAATAATATCAATACTCGTTCGATTGATTACACTGGTATTTTTCGTTACTCTACAAGCATCTGGATTCACATCAATAGCAATAAAATGTGAAAACCACTCTTTCTGTGATGCTAATGCCAGAGCAGTTATCACAATACCTGATCCACTACCGATTTCCATACACATCATGGGCTTCAATGCCTTTAAATTATTCAAATCAGCTTCTAGACTGTCTATCAGCAAAAAAGAATCTTCTGAAGGTTCATAGACCTTCTCTAAATCATCTTTAGTTAATTTAACTATAGGAGTTTCCATTGTAATAAATATTATACTTGAAAAAGATTTATTCGAAAAAATATCACCTTTAGGTTAAATTCTTACTTCGGAGTGGCTTGACTCTCGAGGGTTTCTTGCTCGTTGGATGGATCTGTAGTTTCTCTTTTAGTGTTATTTTCTTCCTGACTCACCTCAGGAACATTATAAGCCGGACTGTGGTCCAATAATGCTTTTCTCTTTGCAGTATCTTTTTCTACTGCATCATGAACTTTATTTAATCGTTCTTGAGTTGTTTGTAATATGTTACTCACTACTGTCACTCTTTGTTTGGCATTTACTAATTTTTTCACGTAGCTATCCAATTCAAAAGGACATTGAAGGTAATCAGAAATTTTTACCAACTCCTCAGTAAGTGATTCAATCTGTTGTTTTAATTCAATTTGACTAATTCTGTAATCAATATTTCTGTTTATTGACTTATCAATATTATTAACATTGATAATTTATAATTTAAATCAAATTGTACTTAAAATGGATAAATAGTATGAGTGTTGACCGATTAATATTTAAATGATCAATAAAAAAAAATATGGTTACCTTGTAGCACGAATTCTCTCATCCAGCTGATCAACAGTAGGCTTTAATAAACTCATAAGTCCTTCTGTCAAAGCATCTCTAGTTGGATTCTCACAAAAATCTTCAGTTTTGTCATCTATTGAAGTATTATCACTAGCAGTATCAATATCCATTTTTTGTACACTGTTTCTACCGTCCACACCCGTATGAAATGTGGATTATTTAAAAAATCAATTCTTCTACAAATACTTCATGCTTATGTATAGGTTGAATCAGAGTTCATTCCTATTAACCCGGTTCCATCAGTTTAAACAAAAGATCCTAAATGAAACTGATGTCGTAACAAATATAATTTTTTTTCAATTAAAATTAAACAACCGCAAAATGGTTCAATTTACATCAAATTTGTCGCCATCAATGATCATTGCGACACTCATGCATACTGTCAAAAAGTCCGTTTGGAGCGTTTGGAGTAAAGAACACAAATATATGTATAGATGTTTAAATTAGTTTTGATTATTTTCTGCGGTCGATACAACAGATCAAAACTTTTTATTAATCCGTGATAGTGTAGTTATTTTTCTTACCTATTATAAATTTATATCAATAACTTTAGATGTCGTTGGTAGGGAATTTTTTTCCGCTCCCTTCTCGATAGCAGTTCGAACATTGTGAAGGGGCAATCAGCTTAAAAGAGAAGAAGAAGAGAAATTCTAAACATACCGCGATTTACCCCTTCGTCATAAAGATAGCTTTTTCTCATTTGTCTCGATACTAAAACCGTTTATATTATATATACTGGAGTCGTATTTAAAAAGTAACAAGACTTTTTTTACATCACTATTAAGCAATCTTATAAATCTACTGATATTTTATAATTTTCCAAATTTTTTTTTAAAATAAAGAATAGCTTATGAGAAGAAAAGTGAAATTTATTTTTAAAAGTCGGTGCTATACTTCGACAAGTTTTATCAACGAATAATCAAAAGCAAGTGACAGGAGACCTTGGAGAAAGTGCGTCGAGGAATCACGGCTTTAGTTTTGGCACGAAACGAATAAGGTAAGTGAAACCTAATCGAGAGACGCGAATATATTCGACCTGTAAAACGTCAACGTCGTCAGTACACTCGTGACAATCAATTGTTAATTCATTTTTACATTCTATTTCTAATTTTCTTTCTATAAAAAATCATTTTTTCTCTCGAGTTTTAACATTCCTCCAAGAATTCTAGAGGTGAGTTTTATGGCAAAATATTGTCCAAATGTATTTGAATAACCAAACAAATCTATCCAGTTACAAAAACAATTGAATTATTATAATTCACCTACTAAGTGTAATAGAAACTAAACATTTTTAATTTTATTCAATAGTCATGATTCATTAGTACTTTTTAAATATTTATAATTAAACTTTAAAATTTTTAATTATAGTTCTTCTACTTTTTCTATTAATGCCAATGTTAATTATTAATAATAAAAACCTATTACCTTTTTATCATTTTTTTGAAGATATTATTAAATTTTTTTTTCTTCCTTTAGCAATAATGAACAGCTATTTTATCATTTAAATGTCTATTTCATTTTTTATACCGCTATTTAATGACATCTTGTTTGACTATCTATTGCTCAACTGTAAGATATTTGCGTGATCACACTAACTGCATTATTTATCAAGTTAGCAATATTTTAAGATGTTTTAATGTTTTGAACAAATTTTTTATAGCAACATAAAAAACGAGAATAGATCAATTTTGATAGTCATCAATTGAAATAATATTTTTAACTAAACAATTATTCCAAGTTTAAAAGTATCTATAAAATAAATTAATTTTTTATCTATTTAGAAAAAAATTTAATCATTTAAGTTGATTATAACGTTTCTCGTATTCCATCGAATAATATATTATATTTTTCTTTAAATTCTGTCTAATGTAATTATTTATTACGCAAAAAAAAAAATTACATGGATTTCTTCGTCCTTGGTCAAAGAAAAATGTTTTTACGCATAAAAAATAGACACAGTGTGGACTATGCATATTTCTCGTTGGTTTAATTAGCCAAAAGACAAAGACGTAAGTGAATAAAACGAGTCAAGTATTTGTTCCTTAAACACGACACTCAGCAAATATAATTTTTCTTCGAATATGAATAGAACAAGTTGATTTGATTATTCAACGAATTTTGGTACCGGTTTATTATTATACTTCCTTTTTTAAATTTTACTGGAAAAATTCTTAGAAATTTTAATGTGTTGATCATCACCTTCACATGGATTTTACTATCAGCAGGTAAAGGGTCCATTTGATATGAAATTTATTCATAGAATGGATTAGATACTTTTTTAAAAAAATGTCTAAGTTATTCAATATTATTTTCAAGGACAGTCGGTTGAAAAAACTTTGTTTTCGGTTTAGTCATAGTAATTTCCTGAGGAGATGTGTAAATAATTAAATACTCCTTTGAAGTCAATGGAGATACGTTTACGGTAGCAAGATAGAATCGTTGATGTATTGATGCACGTCTTTGCATATTTTATTTATTCCGGTTGATCGTCAGCACCCTTGACAACCCTCGTCTGTAATTATATGCTTGCGTCATACTCATATTTAATTGATTAATATTTATGTACGAATTTTCAATAAATAATCGGCAATAGTATTTCAAGACAAGAAATATAATATTTTCTAAGAAATTAATACTACACTTTGGTAAGAAAAAAACAATTCCAATTCCAATTAAAATAATTTTTCTTCTTACATATTAATGAAACTTTTTTCATTAAATAAACTGAGATCAAAAGAGCAACACCACTTTTTAGAAATAATACTTAATGTAATAATAATTATGCAAAATAAATAGCAAATGGTATTCATTATAAATTGTTCATTTTCAACTAAAGGTTATTATGCATAAAAGACTACACCACATGCAATTTAATTACTAAAAGAGGCACAAGATATCAAATATCAAGCCTGTGTGGCTTTTTCTTTTGTTGGGTTTATCATAAATGTCTATTACGTATTCCATTAATCATCAAATAAAAATAATTTGAAGATGTTTCTCTTACTAATGTAAGCATTAGTAGAAAAATGAAAAAAGATAAATGATGATTAGTTTAATAAGAAGCATCCTCCATGACTTGTTAGAGTAAAAACTAAAATAAATAAATGATAAAACTGACGTGACGAGTTGCATGCAACAACCTGAAACTGTGGAAGTGGGTCCTTTCTTGCTCTCTTTCTGCTGTCGTTTGCGTAACAGGGTATAGTTTCTTCCGTGTTTGTTGGATCGTAATGAGCTGAGCTCTCAGGCGGGGATTTTACTTGACGATCAGTGAACGTAACATCGAAAGGTGTACCAGAGTATTTTAATTCTTGCGTCATAGGCGATACTACTTGGAGATAATATTTTTCCGCTTTCATCAAACCTTGGCAAGGACAAATTCATTGAATCATGTGCTTTCATAGTATTTTTCATATTAATTAGTAAATCACAGAAACTTTTGTTGTTGGTTCTATCAATGAATAATAGAGTTTTATGAATTCTAAAGTTTCGTGTTAATATGCATAATATATAAATATAAAAGTCTTACTTTCGTTCACACATTTCACAAGTGAAAGTCTCTATTTTCATCGTTTTTTTTTTTGCTTTTTTTTTCTCTTTGGAAGACATGCATTTTTTTACGTTGATAATTGAAGAAAGATTGATACTTGATGCTTGTTCTAACACACCTTGGTATATTACCTCATCAACATGAAGTAGAGAAAGCCACAGATGTTTATTTAAGAATTGCAATATGCCTTAGCAGGGCACTTGAAATGAAAATCATTTCAAGTTAATTCAAACCTCGTGATTCATTTTAACATAACGTTTAAACAAATTGGTTTAAAGTAATTGATAGGCATCATCTTGTATGCTAGGATTTTTTGTTGTTAATATACTGATACAGACTATTTTAAATTTTAAGTCACACTCACTCAACAAATTCCATGATCAGGATAGAAATATCCTTGTAGTGATCATGAAAAGAATACTAACAAGCTTTTCCTTATGCTCATACGCAGACTCACAAAAGCAATGTACTGATTAATTCCTATTGAATTACAGATTTTTGCAAAATGGTCGAAGCACTCCTGGAGTCAGGAGGCCAAGATGTTGCTATTGCTGACAGTGGATCTAGAGCCGGAACACCAACAGAATGTGCACCAAGAATTACTCCGATTATTGATATGAATTTAACACCAATACAAGAGTTTTATGCAGGTCAAAGTATTTTCATAACTGGCGGGACCGGTTTTCTTGGGAAATTAATTATCGAAAAATTACTCAGAAGTTGCTCAAATCTGTCAGTCATTTACCTTTTGGTTCGTCCAAAAAAAGGAAAAGACACTCATCAGAGAACAGAGGAGCTTTTTGATGATCCGGTAATTAGTTTTTTAACGAAATTTATATTTATTCAGTTTTTAGTTACTCAAGTTGCATTGAACAAAACATAAAAACATAGTCATCTTTATTTATTAAAATCAAAACTGAAACCGTTTTTTTTTTTTTATTAAAAAAACAATGGAATTTATACACGTTTTATTTACTCAAGAAATAATTAAAAAATTATCCACTTAAGTTTTATGTAACAGAAAAAATGAACATGAAAACATAATGGTATATCTTATTGAATAGACTGTACGTTATCTGTAATTATATTAATCAATAATTATTTTAAAATTATTATTGTACTCGTAAAATAGAATAGAACTTGGTGTAGATAATATTTAAAATATGACAAAAAAATAATTTTTTTTTTTTTTTCAAATCATTAGTTTTATACAACTAAAAAATCAAACAGTATAATTCACAAATAGGGGCATGAATAATTTTGTTACTCCACTCCCAAGTCATAAAGCAGCCTTTGATAGTTCCTATGAAAAGATAAAAGTGAAATCGGAATCTGTATGTAATAAACATTTTTACTCTCGACATTTGTAATAAAAAAAGACGTGCATTCTAGAGTAATTTTTACAAATCAAAATTACTCTTGTGTCATATAATATCACATAATTATTGATAAAAACCTGTAACGAATATAGCACAATTACTTACTGATTAAAATGATTGATTAATGAGCTCCCTTCCCCTTCTGATTGAATCAATAATAACCGTCAGGTGTTGACGCCTACCGGTACAATTGTCGACACACTTAGCAAAAAACGGTCGATAATTATAGCAATTCTAATTCATTTAGGAACTGCTGATAAATTTGAAGAAATTAACACTTTATTATTCTTTGTTATAACTCCAAAACAACAATAACTTGAAAAATAACAATAGTATACCTGTTTTATGAGCTTTTGATTACTTTTTGTGAATCATAATAAAACAAAGTTTCCTTGCTTTTTGACAGACTGAATGTCTACCAAAATATTTCAATTCAAGGCTCTTTATCGATTTGAATGTCAACTATTGAATCCATTGCATTGGCATATAAATAATATTATCCATTCTTTTCACTATTATTTTTATGCATTATTTAATCATATCTGATTAATTTTCAATAATAATTATTTTTTAATAGTCAATTGAGGTCATTATTATCAATAATAAATTACTTTCTATTGACTTGAATGGAGTAAAGATAATTATATGAAAATAAAAGCTATACGCAAGATGATAGGTATCATCATGAATAGCAAGACAGTGTTTATCGCATTTCTGTGCTAAAAACACCTTATTAGAAAATATCCTAGATAGTTGTGAATTAACGAGAATTATGTTAAATAATTGTTTTAATTATAAGACTATGACTCATGATTTTTGTTAATGATAAATAAATGATTTCAGTTATTTTCAAAGTTAAAAGAAGAGCATCCGAAGTTTCGTCACAAGATTGTAGCAATTGAAGGTGATTGCAGCTCTCCAAACCTTGGAATCTCAGAAACTGACCGAAGTATGTTAATTAATGAAGTTTCTATCGTCTTTCACGTTGCTGCAACTCTGAGTTTTGATGAAAAAATTAAACTAGCTGTTTCTATTAATGTTCAGAGCCTAAGAGATATGATCAGTATGAGTAAACGAATGTCCAAGTTGAAGGTAATTCAATTTTATTTAATTTATCAATCTCTTCCATTTTATTCTATTGATAATATATTTTCTCGTTGTTGATATAAAAATAATTTTTCTTTCAGTCCTTTGTTCATGTTTCTACGGCTTATGCTTACTGTACAGAACAAACAATCGAAGAGAAACTTTATGCTCCTCCAATTAATGCAGAAAAATTAGTTACGCTGATGAACTGTGTTGATGATAATCTTGCAGAAGAAATGACACCATAGTAAGTATTAAAAGAAAAAAGATAGTTAATGTTCAGTTTTCTATTATATTTAGCACTGAAAAAATAAATAAATACTTTCAATTTTACAGTCTTCTAGGTAAATGGCCAAACACATACGCTTATACAAAAGCTATCGCGGAAAATGTAGTAGAGAAGGAAGCAGTAGACATGCCAATTGGAATTTTCAGACCAGCAATCGTTATTTCAACATATCAAGAGCCCATAAAAGGATGGATAGATAACTTTTATGGACCAACTGGAGTAGCTGCTGCAGCAGGAGCGGGTCTATTACGCACTCTCCATTGCGATGGATCTATTCATGCCAATGTAGTACCTGGGGACATGGTTGTGAATGCTTTATTGAGTTCTGCATGGGACATTGCTCAAGTTCATCGTAGCAAAAAAGAAATCCCTGTTTATAATTATGTTTCTCAAGATAATCCTATCACTTATGAAGATTTGAAAGTTATGTCTCAAAAGTATGGACTTAATTATCCCACCACCAGAGCTATTTGGTATTATAGCTTCAGAAATAATAAATACAGAATCGTTCATCTCTTTTTTGTTTATTTTTTCCATCTTCTTCCGGCTCTCTTTATTGATGCTGCAACACTATGTATGGGTAAACGTGCTCGATTGCTCAAAGTATATAAAAAAATTCATCGATTTATGGATGTTCTCAACTATTTTTCTACCCAAGAATGGAAATTTGGCAATGATCGAATGAATTCACTCGTTGACAAGAGAGATCCGAGGGATAAAACGTTATTTTTCTGTGACATCAAAAGTCTTGTTTGGGACTTGTATTTTAAAACATATCTACGTGGCATACGAGTCTATTTAATTAAGGATCCACTGGAGACTTTGCCAGAAGCGAGAATTAAATGGCGACGAATGTATTGGATTCATCAAGTAGTTAAATTACTTCTTGCTTATCTAGTATTAAAAATTGTGTGGGGAATATTATCAATTATTATGATATAATAAATGAGTAAATTCATCTCAAAGCTGATAAGTATGATGTATTATTTTAATCATGAAAAATAAGAAAATTATAGCAGAATATGAATTGATGAACATAAACATTTCTAGCAATAAAAATAATTGCATATTACGGATTTTGTAAAAAAGATAATTATTATTTAAAGGTCTGACGAATTAAATGAATGCTTGACATATATACCTCTACTTTATAATTAGCAAAATAGAGTATATGTTAATATCTTTATTATAAAAATTTTGTTATTTCTTATATTTTTAATAAGATTTTAAATACTTAAAAAAAAAGTATAACATTTGTTGTAAAGTTTTTTGTACATTTCTCTATTTATATATTAAATAAATTTTGTAAAAAATTCAAAAATTCTGTTTAACTAATTTCTACGAATTATTGATTAATAAAGTTTGTTTTAATCTGAAGCTTGTTTAATGAATCACAATGATGGAACACAACATTAACTAGCCCTGATAGATGTTGTGATTAATGATTCATTCTACAGATTATTTATTACAAATTACTGATGTTATTAACAATGATGAAAAAAAATTGAATAATAATAAAAGAGGGAGAGAAAAAGAAAAATACATATATGAGAAAAACACATGAGAGAAGAATCAACTATTTTTTAAGTCAATATCAAGGTTTAAAGTATTAAGTAATTATTGCAATTCTATTATTTAATGTTTGAATAACTTATTCTACACTGGAAGGTCAGTTAGTTTTTTGTGTCTAGAAGAGAGTATTTTTTTAAAGCATAGAAACTCGTATTTGAACTTCACTCTGGCTTTACATTGATATTATTTATTGACTCAAATCAATTGTTTTTTATTTAATAAAGAATTTTTGAATATTCTCATAGCTAATATTAATTGATGAAATCACTTGTAAATCGTTGATTTTCAGACAGTTTGAATAAGTTTTAAGTACTTTCTGCAAATATTAATATTTATCCATAAATGAACAAAAATATATTTAAAATAATAATTTTAGCTGAATCACTATAAATATTTGTTCAACTTCAAACAGGTCAAGGAGGTTCAGTGAAAAATTCTTAAAGTGAACAATGACCATATGTCAATAGAATGTAAATCTCTAACCAACTTACAAGTGTAATTTTTATGAAATTTTCTTCACTAATTATTCCTGAATACTTTTTAATATTCTTAATCTAAAAGTGATAATTGTTTTGGAACATAAAAGAAATTCCACTTAAGAAATAAACAACGATATTCTTGTTTACATTTTTATACTGATCAGACAAATATTTCACTCGACTGTTTGTCAATGTGTAAAGTGAGGAATTTTTTTTAAATCAATCAAGAATTTTCAATATTTATTCTAGAAATATCTGACAATTTAATTATTCAATGAAAAATGGAATAGTAATTCATCAAAACAATGTATATTTTAATCAACACCTTCTAATCCTTTATGAAATATTCGTATGAGCATATTTTTTGTAAATACTTTCACTTAACCACGTGTCTTTAATTTATTTTATTATTTGACTGTAATTTATTTTTTTCGTCTTAACTTAATGTAGAGTATTTTTTTGAACGATTAAAAAATAAACTCATCAAGTTAAAGCTAATTCTATATAATGTAAAATTGTGTATAATTACTCCATCTTGAGGTTCACTGGAAAAAACATTTGAGGTTTGAATCAATTATGGTTAGCCAAATCCTAACAAATTAACTGGAAGAGAAAGTAGAGAGGATTTGCGAATAAAAAGACGTCGAAATCTGTTTGAAAATTAATGAGGATATTTAAAATGGTTGATGCTCTAACTTTAATTTTATATTATTCTATAACGGTTACAGAGTAAATTAAATGAATTAGGATAATTTTATTATACAAAAATGTAATACGGAATTGATTATGTAAAAATGATTAATACTAGAGATATTGTGGATTATTTAAATGATAAACTATTGTAAAAATGAAAAAAATCAATGGCTATAGCATAATATGAGCATTAAGATCATTAGAAATTATAATTATTACCAAAAAAACCATGTACACAATATTTCTATATACGGGTCGTTTTGAAATAGAGAAAGTTAATAGAAATACGCATTTTAAAAATTTGTTCCAGTGACAAAATGATGTATTTTTCGTAAATAGATAAAATGTTGCATTTCTACGTTGTAAATGAATCAATTTAATAATATATTTTTTTTTACTTTTACTTTGATACATTATTTTCAAATAAGTTAGATGTTTCAAAAATTATTTTTAATTCATCATATGAAAAGTTTGTTTTCTCTTTACGTAAAATTTTTGCATGAAAATGTATGAACAATACTGCATTTTATCGGTTAAATTTTCCACAGAATTAAATATTTAAGATAATTGAAAAAATGAAATGTACTTTGTTTACTATGAGCTTCATAGGAAACGAGAAGCGTGTTGAGATAGGTTAGGCGCTCGTTTAAAAGCCCATGTCGGAAAGTGAAAATTGAATGAAAATCAACGAATGGATCAGCTGATTCAAGCAAGTGCTGCCACCACGCAGTAATGCACTTAACTAATAATACTAGAAATTCATTGAATGAAAGAATTGTGTATCGACACTTTACTACTTTTACGACGACGAGTGAGATACCGAGAAGAGCATGTTTACATTTTATCTCAGAAGCTTATAAGTAATGACACGATTTGTTTACAAAGATTCTACACTTTGATGGCGCAACAAGCACTATTTAAATACCCGTGATATCACATCTGGCAACTGACAACAATAAAAACGACGTTATTTCATAAAATTATGTTAGAAGTATTATTTAAAAATATTAATTGTATCTTATAATGATATTTATTATTGTTAATAGTAAATTAATTCTCTATTAACAAATATAAAGTAAATAAATTTTCTATTGGATATAAATTGTCTAAAAGTATCGATTAAATTTATAACGTCTAATAGTTACTTTATTAACACAATAACTTGGTGAAAAAAATGTTTTAATGGAGTTTAAAGTTGAAAATAAAGTTCTCTTTGAACAATAAAATGGTTGATTTTCTTTTACTTAATTATCTTTCAATTAGAGTATTTCCAAAGTAACCTGCAGGCTGACTAATTATCGAAGAACGAAAATGGACTCGGGAGCAGTGCGATGTAAAATCAAGTAGGCAGGCAACGCTGACCCAACCTCACTGACTCCCGGAAATGCAAACTAGTAATATTTACCGGACTAACTTCTCATTATCGTCCGTTCTTTAGAGTTGGTATAGAGAGAAGTAGAGTTGATGCAACTGTACAGTGATCTACTCACATTATCCAATACATCTTTTTTTCTCTCTCGCACTCTCATGCTCATGTTTTTTTTGTTTTTTTTTGAACTTGTAGCATCACGAAATACATTGCACACGTGCAAACGACTATCATTGATTACTTGATAATATCGATTGAATGATAAATTATTATTGAAAAAACACTTTGAACGTTTCTATCTTCTAGAGCTTATGAATAATTTAAAATATTGAAGAAATCTTATAAAATATACAAAATTGAAAGTGCAGTAGTTAGTTAGTGGAGGCCGTAATGCGTAATTTTGAAAGTCCAAGGTCTCAGATATTTAAAAAAGTTTTTTTTGAAGTCTAAAAATTTAAACATCTCTAATAATAATGTAACTATTAGTATAGTGGGATTAATAGCTGTTATTTTTTTAGGGCCTTGAGCTACGCTAGTCATTGGCTCAATATAAAACATTTCATGACGAGAAAATATTTTGTTATAATCACCTATTGATTTTTTTTGAATAAAGGATAAATAAAAATAAATATTTTTATAAAAATATTATAAATGCTTTGTGTATCAATTTTTTTTTTTATGTGCATTATTTACAGCTTTGATATTTTTTTTGTCGCATGCATCAAAAGTATATTGAAATTCAGTTCAATAATTTAGTAAAGTTTTTTCTTTATATTTATATTTATGCATCCAATATAATCACAAATATTTTTTTTATAAAAACTATATGCATATATAAAATTTCTTGAGAGATGCATTATTTTCTAAAAATAAACCTAATTTTTCTGATGGACATCTAGAACCAGACCAGCCTCGGATGTCGATCAATAATTTAAATGAAATCATTTCTCTTATTTTGGAAAAGTTAAAATAACACTATAGACATATTGGCATAGTTTTTTTTTTTTTTTTTAATAAAGATTGAAAAAAATTTTAAATAAAGTTTCGAAGAGGATTTTATATTAAATTTGAAGAAAGCTAAATAATTATTTTCGTTTAATTAATCGAAAATTTTAGAGTCTTGACCAATGATCCAGACTAAAGGGACTTGTTACGAGGGACACGAACGTGTTTTGTGGATGGATTCTTAGGTACGCATACGGATCCACAGAAAAGTAGGAGAGATGAACAGAACAGAGCATCTGGGATGGTATGCGCGCGCGGCTGCTGAGGAGGAAGAGAGGAACAAGTACATATACTGCCTGCCGACAAGTCCAGTGAGGAAGATAAAGAGTAAAAGAGTGTTCCAATGTACAAGAGCAAGAGAGAAACAATGAAGTGAGAAGGAGCGATGGCCGAATGACTGAGAGGGGCAGGAGCACGCGCCAAGAGCAAAAGAGGGATGCCGCAAGGCGGTGTCGCGCGGGTGGCGGTGGCAGAGGGTTGGATGCCGAGAGTATATGAGGAGCTGAGGGGCAAGAGGATAAACAACGATGTGCGCGAGCCATCAGGGCCGAGTAAGATAGAGTAGGAGGGGCAGATACCAAAGAGGATAGCACGCGACGTAGCTTCTTGCGTTCTTCCTTGACTCCCACTCGCACACGCAACTCAATGTGCTTTTTAGTAGCAATATATTTATTCGATATATGATGGATATTTTTGGATGCTTTTCGAAAACTTTGTTATGCTTTCTCACATTTAATTGTTTCTGTCTAAAATATTAATTATTTCTAACATTAGATATTAATTAGCTGACTATAAAATTATTTTCAAAAATTATTGAGGAAAAAAATTTTAAATTAAAAATTAACTTTTTCAAATTCTTTTTGTTTATTTGAGTATGTCATGTTTAAAGAAAGAGTTACGATTGATTTTTTATTAATCTATTATTTTGTTACGATTCAATTATTTTGATACTAGAAAAATAACTAGTGACTAAAAATTATCAATAGCAACAAAAAAAGTTGTTCAATTATAACAAACGCGTTAAAAACGCTCATTGTCTCTTGTTTAATTGACAGGTCGTATACGACAAAAGTTAAATATAGATTCAAAAATTTTTTAAATAATCAATAAAAACTATTTTTACAAATGATTATACATCTATATTTTGGGCCAAATGAATTGCTATTGATCGACTTTATGAACAACCGAAATTATTACTTCTGAAGGTTGATATTTTGATGTTGGATTATTATGGTGTAGTAGAAATAATGAACATATACATATATTCTAGAATATTGATATCCGAAGCTAAAAAAATTTTTAGTAATAAATATATAAATTTTGATAATTTATTCTTGTAATGTTTGAAAAAATTATATTAAATATTAATTACTCGCTAGAATTTTCATTAGTGAAGATATTCGAGTGAATGATCAGATTTATTTACCCTATCGATTGATGTCTGTCTGTCTGTCTGTCAGTCTGTGCTGACCAATTAATAGTGGCACATCAATAAAAATGATATTTACATTGGTTCCATGAATTCCAAGTAAACAATAATAAAGCCTACAGGTGAATATTCAATTTTTTATTTTCATAGGAATTTTTTTGTGATCGAATAATATATTAGAATAAATAAATAATATTTAAGTAGCTTTTGGTAATTTAGATTTATATGGAAAATAATTTATTTTAAAATTACATGCTTATACTAATTTTTAATATTATAATTAAATGCTTTGAAAAATAGTTTTAATTTTCACTACTTTTAAAAATATTGATCACAAATTCGTAGACGATATTTGAAATCATTTAATAAATAATTACTTATAAATTAGACTTATTTAATGACCTGGTTAGAGAATGGAATTGAATATAAGACACAGCGACAGCAAATCTATTTTTTAAATAATGTAAAATAATGTTTACCATTGAATAAAAAAATGAAGGACTGCAGCTTCATTTTCTATCGAAATTTTATTATGTTTATTACATGGACTATCAATTTTTTATTAAATTTTTGTCTTATTTAATATTATTTTTATTAATTCGTTTTCTATTGGTATGAAAAAGTTACGATTAAGAAGAAAATATTTTCTCTACAGTCAGCAACACAAATATGTACTGTTATATATTTTTTTATAGATCGTTAACTATAACGTATCCGAACTTCTTTTGGAAAACATTGGATAAATTTATATTATTTCATAGTAAATTATTAAAAGCAATATTATAATGTACATTTCAAATTGATTTGAATAAATTCTAATGATGAAAAATGTGAGAATTATTGAGGATATTTTAAATATGTAAAATATTCATCTCTCATTAATTTATAGAATAAAATAAATTAATATTTAATATTATACATATGATTAAATATAATTACTCGGGAAGGTTATCGAATTAGATAAGACATTAAGCAATTAGTATTTAAGTATTATAAGAAAAAATGTGGCTCAAGTATTTCTTAAATTATAACAGAATATTATTTAATATTTCACCAAAAATCAGTAGGAGATAGTATGACAAATCGAACACAAACATGCGGTAATTATCTAATAACTAATCATGACTAAACACATAAAAAATTCCAATATATGTATAATATAATGATTTAAATAAGAAATATCTTAAAAGACGTTAAAATCAAACAATGCAGTACTATCACATACCTCAAGTCTTATAACAAAGTATTATAAGAATGAAAATGAAGAAGATTAGATGAAAGTAGTTGAAATGTATTTACAAGTATGACGATTTTAATTTATAACGTAAAGAATAAGATGCAGTTGTTAAAGATTGCGATGGTAAAAGGAAGCTACTTATTAACCACAGCGAGAGTTAGGAGGTGAATGTGAGAGCGATAAAGACAAATAATCGAAAAACAAAGACCGATAGAGAACAGTGGAATACAGGTGATGGAGGAGGAGAGAAAAGAGCAAGCACGAGACCGTGAAACTCTGGCGAGAGAAAGGACGGTGCGAGTACTGGCAGGGGGTGTAGGGACAAAAAGCGGGAGACAGACTAGTAGCACGTTCTTTGAGCAAGAGAAAGACAAAGAGAAAACAAAACGCAGTGAGATAAAGAAAGAAGTGGAATAAGCAAGAGGCCACACACTCTGCACGTTGTCGGTGACTCGCGCGTGGCGATGTGACCAAGCCAACCAAAGCAACGTTGCATTATAACGTTTGCTGGATATCTGCTATGCTGCAAATAATCGCGCAAGAAGAAACAAGAGGTCGCGCGTGCAATCAGAAGGAAAAGAGAGATGCACCAGATTGCAATAGGTTCATATGGTTGAGAGCAAGATGCGTAGACATGTAGAAAGAGACTAGTTTAAAAAGACAGGCTAACGTTGGAAAAAGTTGAAACAGACAGATAAAATATGGAAAATAGACGGTGAGTGTAGTCATGATTTACTCTAAAAATTTTAATAGAACAGATGAATAAAAATAGTCTGATAATTAAAGACAAAAAGATGGAAAAAAAACAATGGAATGAAAACTGTAGAGTATTATGTACAGTATTTAAGATAAAAGGGACCGACAATGCAGCAGACAAAGATGAATAGTAAAAAGACGAGTAAGTGGAAAAAACGGGCAGACAGATGGGTAAAAACATTTGGATAACTAAAGACAGAAAGTCAGGTTGTGTGCAATGTAGTAGAAATGATATGATATATAGTATACGTATTTGTAAAATATTTAAAATAGAAAAATAACTAGTTGTAGAGAAAATCGAGGTAGACAGCATAAACTTAACGCTTATAAGTGAAAAAAGACAGTCATGGAGAGACTTGTTGTGACAAATAAACTACTACATTATTGATGAAAAATAAATTTATGCATTAATTGGAAATCATAGCTTATCATTCCACCTAGAAATAAAATCAGATTATTTTTGGGTATAATTAGATACAAACAAAATGGTATAATACATTATATGTAGTATTACAATATATTGTGTGTATCTATAGCGTATTAAAGACCAAAAAAAAAAAATGTAGAAACTAATGGAGACAATAAATCTAAGAAAGACAGACAAGTAGAGTGAGAAAAAGCAACGTTGAAAAGAGGGAGAAAGCAAGAGCGCAGGGAATAACACGGAGTGACTCTGATTCGACTGGAGAGGGCATGGAGGTCAGCAGAGGAGAAGGAGAAGCATTCAGTAACTTATTAGATAGGCAAAATCACTTGCAAATCATGTCGACACTCAGCGAATAAATTGCGATGAAAATAATATAAATAAGGATTGAAAATTTAATAAGAAAATTTTTCAAGATTCGCTTGATACAACAAGCTGTCAATGACGTTTTTTCCCGCGTCATAAGTTACGTCATCGGGGAAAACTCAGACCCGTGACGTAGTTGGCACACGCCAAGCTATGATGAGTGGTGGGGAGCAAGAGGGGGAGTATATTAGTGAGGTGGAATAGCGGGGAAACTCGAGGTTGTGTAGCAGACAGAGAGAGGCTTCGCGACGGCGCGGTTACCAATGATGAGAGGGGGCAAAACACGAGAGAGACTCAGGACAACGTATTGTAGAGTAGCGCGAAGAATTGTAACGACCTTTGTCGCGGATACCCGGTTAATCGACTACAACTCTCGCGCCAGATGATTTTGATTTGTCCATTAGATTGCATTTGTAGTTGATTACTGAAGAACTGTATTAATAAGTAGCCGTTAATCGGATAAGTTATTTTGGAATGAAAGGTTCATCTCGAGTAAAAGTTTAGTTGTATATTTAAAAGGAAAAAAAAAGTTGTGAAATTAAAAATAAACTCATGGACATTGACTTATTGTTTCTCTTGTCAAGTTCGAATGTGCACAGGTGTCTAGAGAAGGAGGATAACGGACTGGTAGTGGGGCTGAACCACTGTGAAGAAGGAGTAGACTAAAACTTGTTAGCTGTAACGGTTGTTGTTATTGTCGAGCCCGTCGCCGCGACGGATTGAATAGACTTTAGCCGCGCGTGAAATAAATTCAACTTATATATCTGCGGACGGGTTTCTTGATAGAAAGGAGAACGAAAAAAAAAAAAAACAAACAAGTCGGTCACTGGGTGCATTGATATTTCAACTCAATATTGTATCATTAGTTTTTGTGATTACAGAACTCTTAAATTAATACAAGATATTGATTTAATTACAACTTTATTCGATAATTAAGATCAATATTACTGTTAATCACTACAACTCATTGCAGCGAATTGAAAATTCATAAACTAATTTATTAGTGAAATTAGTGGAAGCAAATATAATTTCAAAGCGTAGTAAAGACAATTAAAGATCATCATACACCAGACGGAATGCTCGACTTTGAACAGCAGGCCAATCAGGCACAGGCATTGGCCTCGCTCGACGAAGACTGGCACCTGCTTGAGGGTGAGCACACGACCTTCGCTATTTTTTCATCTTTTCTTTCATCTTTTTTTTCTCCTGCGTATTGCGTGTGGTTTTTTCTCGCCCACGAAACTGTTTTTTTATAAACTTTATTTTACCATTATTGTTATTATAATGATAATCAAATCCCACATTCACCTCCGCGTGTTCTTTCTGAGTTGAAAGGGCTTGACCTTTGGGATTTTGTGCGACCTTTGGACGCACTCCATCCTATATATATATATAAAGTTTTATACATATTTAAGGTGTAGAGAGATTGACTACAATATATGTAGACGGTCTAGAGCAATCTCGTTTAGATCGTCTGAAAGAGACAGCAAAAAAAAAGATACCTTTTTTTTAATCGACTTTAGGGACGCACTGACCTCAGATAAAGTTTCTCGCAAAAGGGGAAAGTGAAAACAAGAGAAATCGCGACACTACAATTAGTAAATTTATAAAAAAAAAAATTTAATAAAAGTATAAGTAAGGTTTTTATGAAAAATAATTATTATTATTATACTCTATCTTGTTTATCAATTAAATTTTTATAAGGATATAATAAACGTTTGAAATAATATTATGGTTTTTTTTTATTTCTTTACGTCCTTCATGTCTTTGTAGATTTAATCATTGAGTTGACTCATTGATAAAATTAATTGTTAATTAATTAGAATTATAATTATATCTTGGAATAAAGTGAATAAAATAATATTATTAGAAAAATAACATCATTATGGAGGAAAAAGAATTGTAATGGGATAAAATTTAATTCAATAAATATTTTAAAATGGAGTCATATTAAATTTTGTTATACCGGAAGTTCATTAAGTATGCTACAAGCATTTTCCAAGATTATATATTACGTTATCGTTCATTCAATTTCACGTGGTATTTTTTGGAATGACCGAAATATTGAAATTAAAAAAAAAAAAATTAATACTCATGAATATTTCTGAGATATTTACAGATTTATTTTTTAAATCGGTGACGTACCGATTATTTAGAGTTTTTAAATAGTCTAGAGTGTCTTATCAATCATCATAGCATTCTTTAAACAGATATTTAGACTATTGATTTTAAGGTGCTTGAATAAAGGAAATAGCTAATAAATGTTGGTAATAGTATAAGATATAGATAAATAAATATATTAAATATGCAGTAAAATTATCAGATAATAAAAAATAACTTACATAAATATCCATCTCGAGGTCGCTTCTACAACCTGTTGAATTTTGTTGACGTTTACGCGTTATTCTTTCGCGAGGACTAGACGCCCAACGAACCGTATGACCTATTGTCTCTCTATTTGTCAAGTCAGAACGAATAAAAAAATTATAACGTCATAATAAAAACTATCTTATCCATTTAAGTACGATGTAGGATGGATTATTGAACTCAAAATCACAATCAATACACAATATAAATGAAGATGAACAAATTTGTCAATTAATTAAAAATAAGATAATCAAATTTAATTTATTATAGTATTTTTTTTTTTTGATAGATTAAAAGATATAGTTTTTATAGGAAAAAATATAGTTTAAACTCATTAATAATTTATAAATAATTTTTTTATCTTCAACATACTATCCATCTTTGTTTACCTTTAATCTACACATCATTTCAAATGATTTATACTTTTAAGAAACATTAAAAAGTTTTTAATATAAATTAAAGAAAGATTTTCATGCAACTAAATACTTTTATATAAATTCCATTATAATTATTCAGAATATTTGAGAAAAAATAAACAATTATATGTAAAACAAAAATAATAATTCTGAAGAAAACGTGATTTCTTGGTAATGAACTTGGTTTTCAATATTTGATGACGAATTTACGGAAAAACATACTCATGAATAATGAAAACAAAGAGTAGAAATAGTGTTAAAAGTATATAAAGGTTATACACCTTTCGCTGAATACATAAACGAAAATTAAAGAGGAATTTTCTATGATTCACTTCAATTGAGCATTCAATTTTGAATTCTGTACTTTAAAGGTGCTTAATACTGTCTTTTTTTTATATTGAAATTTAAAATTTCTGTAAATAATAGAGACAAAGAAGCATGAAAACGAGTCTTTCATTCTTTGGCGCCGCAAGCGAAGGTCGGAGAAGTCGAGAGTGTCCCTCGAAGTCGATGATCACGCGTTTTACTCGATCCTTATCTCCAACTTGTTCACTCTGTGCGTCGACTTGGCGATGCGCTCGTGCGCACCAACATGTCAGTAAAGAAAGAGAGACAGAGGATTGAACAAAGATAGATAAATTGACTCCGTGCTTTATTACTTATTACGAATACAAAACAATTAACATTTACGGGATAGTGATGTATATCTTTTAAAAAGAAAATTTCTCATTTAAATATTTTAACTCATCACTTGTGGTTAAATAAATATGATAGAAACAATATTTTTATTTTCACTACTTTTATCTTATTAATTCGGAAAGTTAGTTTCCAATTGAATTAATGCAGTTTCTTGCAATAGACATTTCAATACCGTTGAATATCTTTTATATTAGATTGCATATTTTTTAAATTTAAGCCTATTTATGTAAATATCAAAGATTAATACAAAAGGGTTGAAAAGTGAAGCGATAGACAAGAGACACACCTGCTAACCACAACGTTTACAGTGTTCTTTCTTCCTTGGCTGCAGGTCTCAACAGTTTTATCTCACCTGGCGCTTTCGCTGTCGCGCCGTTCACCGCGTGCTCGAGATTGATTCTAAGAAGAAAAAAACTCACTTATACCGACCATCTGGAGAATTTTCAGTGTCTTAAAAAGAATTTTTTCGATGGTTATAAAAATACAAATTAACCAATTATCTGCATTAATAATCGATAACTAATCAAACTCTTAATAAAAATGTCCGGAAGTTTTTTTTTCAATGATAATGATTATAACGTAGAGTACTATTTTTAATCTTTTAAGTGCTACGTCGATTTTAAGAATAGAACGTCATTTGAGATTAAATATATTCAAAGAATTTTTTTGTAACGCAACGGAAATACTTCTAACAGTAAAACCTGTAAATTATTTGGTCAGTGACAAAAAGGAGAAAGTGATTGAGATTTAAAGAATTTTTTATCTAGAGAAAGGATTTATGAATTAGGTAATCAGAAATATACGAGTGTGAATCAAATAATATAATTCTCAACAACGAAACCAAAAATAATAATTTTATTTGTCTATAGAAATAATTCAATATCATTAAAACAGTAGTGATATTGATTTTAACATGAAAAATATATCAATAGCATTTTCGAACATTAACTTAATAGGTCAAGGGTATTTTCTTAATAATAGAATTCATAAATAAACCCACAAATTAGAGAAATATCAAGCATGAAAATTCGTTTTGAAAAAATATTATCATACATCAAAAATATCTGTAAGATTAATATTAGATAATTTGGGCGATTTTTTATTTAAAAATAGCTCAGAATACATATAATAGAGAAATAAACCACTGATAGAATGAATAGGTAATCAGAGTATCATTGAATTTATAATATGCTTAAAAATAATATTTTTTAATAATTATTAACGACTTATCATTATTATCATTGAACTGATATTGATTATACACATGCTCTTATCTTTCTTTTTACTCCCAATAAAATGATCGAATCTGATAAGCTAATGTTTGTCACAGCTTATAAATTTTCAAATTATACTTGTATATGATTATTGACTACAATATACGTTAAATTTTTAACAGATTTTCACAATTATTTATTTAAATTAATTTATACTGTAATGTAAAACATAATTTATTTATTTTTTTCAAGTAATAATATATTTCCAAGTGTAATTAAGTAATTTTTTTCTGTAATGATAATGATCAAATATTCATTGTAAATATTCCTTCAGACTCTCCAGCATCTATAGACTATACAATTTTCTATCTGCATGATCATTACGTTTGCCTTCGCAACGAAAACTCGGTCTCTCGACGAGTTTATCTCTGTCTCTCTTTCTTTTTTCTATCTCCTTCTCTCTCTCTCTCTCTCTCTCTCTCTAGGATACGAGAAAGTATATAGAAGTATGACGGGAGAAAAGTAGGTTTTATTAAAGTCCTATCATCGTCATATCACGCGAGAAATAGTCCAACATATTTGCATTGCTTTATATTTAAAAGTTTACAAGGAATAGCTAATTTATTAAGCATTCCTTATTATATTATTTTATTGCAAAGCACTTTAATACTATACTTAGTCAATGTAATAGTGTAATACAAGAGCATAAGATAATTGAAATCATTAACCCAGAAAGAATTATATTGGAATAAGATTGAAAGGAGGAGAAAGTGAGAGCAAGGCATTTTTTAAAGATTTTTTTTTCTTTATTTTCGAATCAGCCTATTGTAAAGTAGACAAAGAAAATAGAGGGACTTGTCGATTTATTTCGAAATAGAAGGGACTTACAGTTGTTTTCGTAACAAACAATTTACGCGAACGTTGGAATATGCTACGTAGCCGCCATTGCCGTCCTACGAAGGCCTCATCCTCATAGCAGACCCTGACGTAATAGAAAGTAGAGCCCGACAAGGCTGCTTGCCACCTCCACAAAGCAAAACATACTTAAAGTATGTATAGTATGGAGCTGTCTCACTTGTATATTCACTTTGGTTCATTATTTATTTTAAATAATATCAATATATTTTTTCACCTTCACACATACACTTCAAATATCACTCAGATTATCTTTATCATACTTGGTTCATGAAATTAATGAAAAAAATTGTACATTCATTTTTGACATTTCTCTTCAAAAAAAAAATATATAAATGCCACTGTAAAATATTTTGGTTATTATGCATCATTACATGATTTATTTTTATATAATGATTAGTAATTGAAGAATTGAGCAACTATAAAGTCAATGTCATTGTAATACATAATGAAATTCAAGCGAAAATTTACTTTATCAATTCTTGACTGAATTTTTTAACATTTATTTATTGTTCAAGAGTAAAAATAGAATTCAATAAAT